ATGAGGATGGAGTAGCAGTCTTTGTTAAACTCGTACTTTAGGACGTACGGTTTAAACTCTTTCTTTTTCTTCTGGGACGGCTGATCAGAGTCGTCAGCCGCCCAGATCTCTTTTCTCTTCCTACCCTCTTCTGCTTTCTTAGCCAGCTGAGCTTGCCGAATTTCTTTTTTGTCAGACTTCTTACAGTCATACTACTTGTTAATGGAGCAGAGCTCGGTCGCTTGTATGTATATAGGCTTCCGCCTCCATCAGAGCTTCTGGGAGGGTGGCAACCCTTTTTCTGACGAGGTCAAACTTAAAGGTCGACCCGTCCTTCAGACCCTTGAAAAAGTCTGTATAGGCCACATTGTCAGACAACCCTTGAATCTGAATTCTCACCAGATTAAACCGCCTGACGTATGACTGTAGCCCTTCTCTATCCCCCTACTGCACTGCACCCAAGTTGAGACTTGTTTTCTTGGCAGGGATATTCATAGAGAAGTTAGAAGCAAATAAGAATGCAAGCGCCTTGAAGCTATTGATGCAGCCGGCTGGCAGGTTGCCAAACCATTGTTGGGCGATGCGCTTCAATGTAGCCGGGAAGCATCGGAACCAGGTGGCGTCATCCAACCCCTGCAAGTACATGAGGTTGGTGTAAGCCATGAGGTGGTCTTCTAGGTTGGTGGTACCATCATAAGCACCCACCATGACATTCTTAACCTTGTTCGGCTGTGCCGCCTCGGTTATCTCCTTGGAGAGCGCAGAAGGTTGTTCCCCAAGTTTTAGCAGACGGAGCTGCCAGTCCAAAGGTTGGATGTTTTGCGCCGCCTGACCCCCAAAATGAGCCAGTTGCATGTAAGGTTGTCCATATGGCATGTATGGTTGCTGAGGCACATACGGGGCCAAATGGATTATCTGAGGGACAGAGTGGACGGACAGGCCGCCTAACTGACTCTCTCGTAAAGATTGAGAATACCTCATTGGGGTAGTCTGGAAGCTTTCTGGGTAACTCGACGTCGAAGCTGACTCAGACAATTGCTGGTTTCTCTTCTGCTCGATTAGCAACCGGGCAACAGAGTATGTCTTCCTTGAGTCATCCGGTTGAACATGCCAGATGGCCTTCCTCTTCCCTGTTTCAGGGAATCGGATCTTGGAAAGGTTAATCAAGGGCCGCTTCCTCTCCTTTGATTTAAAATGCGCAGTGGGCTCTCGGTCCTTGACAGGCTTGCTCTTCTCAGAGAGAGAAGGCTTCTTGGCCAACTGAACCCTGTTGGAACCAGCCGTCCTTTTGTTGATGAGGTCCTTTATCGCCCCCTTGAAACTTGTCATGAATTTCATGAGTTCATCTCGAGTTACTGGGGATGTGCCTTCCGCTGCCTAATTTTTTCCAAACGGCTGTCCGGATGGCTTACTTGGACCAGCTTGATCATCGCCCCGTTCCCTTCTTTCCTTGGGACGGGTGCGTCTGGTTCTGAGTGACCCATCAACGGCCACATATGTTCCAACTTCAAAGTCGTCATCACTGTCATGGTCCGAATAGACCTCAGCTTCGGCTGTAGGTCGTTTCTCATTAGGAGGCGGTACAGACTGTTGTGAAGCCATCTTAGAGGTACTCTCCCCACAGATGGCGCCAAATGTTTCGGGTTTTCCGTGTCCCTCGGGAGAGTTACGCCACTAAGTCTGGATTCTGGGCGCCTGTACCTGCAAAACAACGAAGACTCCGGTTGGTTGGAGTTCCGCCTCAAACGATCAAGTTAGAATGTGTACGGAGATTGTAAAAAATGTGCAGAAAGAAAAGTGAAATCTTCTCATATTCCGAGATCAGGTGTTTTTCTCTGTTTTCGAGAGAATTGATTATGTTGCAATCATTCAAATGATTTTTCCCAAAAGGGGTTCAATCACCCTACTTAAAGGGTCATTGGAATTCGTGCCCCCATCCTAGGTTACGGAAACCTAGGATTGATGGGCTGCGCCGCCTTTTGACAGCCTAGGGAATTGGGCCTTGAAGGCCGTCTTTTTCCCAATGATTGGGAGTGCCACGTGTCAGCTGAGGAAAGGTTCGTTTTGAACCTCTCTTACGGTGACACGTGTCACCATTTTATTGGCCACGTGGCCTTGGGTATTTTTACCCTAAACATATAGTATTTCCAATAGGCAAAACCAGCGGTTTCAAGTAGTACGTGGCTTTAACTAGGGGTGCCTGTTCGATTTTTGATTTGGATTTAGGCCAAATCCAATCCGATCCGAAATATAATTCGGTTTCCAATTTTTCAATCTGATCCAATCCGAATTAAAGTTCGGTTATTTGGATCCGATTCAAAAATCCGAATTAAAATACGTTTAGCTTAGCATCTAATAGACTAGTACGATAATATAAAAATAAGAATGCAATTATAAATAAACATTTTGTTCAGTTCTTAAGATTAATACAAAGCTTGAAAATAGTCATGATTAACATATATATATTGTTTAAAATCAAGTCAAATTAAATTGTTCAAAATAACTAGTACAACTAAAAGGCAACACCATTAGTCCGTTTAAACAATAACTCCATGCAAAATACCAAATAACAAGCATCAACTTTCTGCAACTTAAGATTTAATTAAGACAATAACAATTTTAGTTATATAGTATGTATTTGGGCTAAAATTTAGAAGCTCAATTATAAACCACAGCAATCCATATACATTAGATTAGTTACATTTGTTATAAATAAAGGAGTAGTCTTGTACAAATAGTATAAAAATATTTAAGTAAGATAAAAAAGATAATCACACAAACAATGGAACAATATCGGTGCGTCGTGATGCAAATCACTGACTTGAAAACGAATTTCCGGCGCAACCAAGGGGCTCAATTGTATTCTCCAGCACGTTCTTTAAGATTAACACATGCAGCACTTCCACAGAAAGACACTTTTGGGTGGAAGGTTTGAGTCAAGTAACTTATGCCCAGTAGAGAATGCGTTTAGATGACTATTGTGCTTGATGTATTTTGTAAAGTGTAAAAATCAGAAAAAAGGCTTCTTCTATTTATAGAGAAATATGAAAGAACATATAAGAAGAATCACAAGCATCAAGCTAAGGGAGGTGAATAATCACCTTAAACATCCTCTTAAATGGTGGAGAAGGGGGGTTATGAGAGTTACTTATCAAGAGAGTAATGGTGGTGATTAATCACCTTAAATATCCTCTTAAATTGGGGGTTATAAGGATTACTCAAGAAATTGAGGAAATCCACAGATCAAATCGTTGGAGTCCAACGGGCCAACACGCGTCCGATTGGGGCGCTAGACCTGATGCCTTGAATTCCCTTACTTTATTCCAACAACATTTATTTTAGTACGCGTACTATTTAAATATATATATTTCCAATCATTATTGAACATCAATTTATATTATCCAATATCTAGTATTTAAAATTATTAATTTGCTTCGTTCGACTTTATAGATGTGTCACTAGAGTAGTGGTTGAAATTAAAGTATAATAAGCATGGGTCATTGGGTCATAGGTTTGAACATTAATGCTAACAATTCATTTTTTTAATGAATTATATGACATGGCGCCACATCATCTGCCTAGTCATGATGACACGTGGCAGGCTCATGTCTTCTCATTGAGTTTTAATATATATATATATAGAATAAAAAAAAGTGTACATAGGTGCACTCTGGTGTATATAGTAATTGTTATTATATATATCTGGCCTAAAAAAAAATCGAAATACGTACTCCGTAGTATTTTCTCCGTTTTGCTGAGTGTTACTCAATTACTATTTTCACAAATTAAGATAAGTGAAAATGGGAACTATACATGTGAATACTTTTGTATTAAAGAGGAGAGAGATAAAAAGTTGAGACTTATTAAATAAAATGGGTCTCACAAATTGAAGTTGTAGATGATAAAAAATAAATTGAAAAAATTGTGGAAAAAAAAAAGTAAAGCAAAAGCGAATAGAACTAAGAAAAACGGATAAAAACGAAAAGTGAGTAGAATTTGGAAAAAGGGTGTGAGTATATTTTGGCTTTTTGCCTATTGGAAGAACTCTCTATCTAACATCCACTGGATTACAAGTCCACAATATCTAGCTTAGCCCAATATATTGCTGCAAATATCATGAACATGATATTTTAATTAAAAAAAAAATACAGACTATAAGTGATAGGCGTGTCGCGTACCTAACAAAAATAAACCTAACGAGACCACTACTATGTAGACGGGCAAGTAAGGATCGAATCCCAAGAGACTAAGGTTCACCTAATTAAATAGACTCAAATAATCACCAAGCAAGTGACAATTCAAAGGTGATGAACTTCTAAGAACTAATAATTAAAGAACTCAATTAATCTAAAGAAAAGTGATAAACCAATGAACTAAAACATCCAAGATCAAGCATTACCACGAATATAATCAATGCATAAACAAATCCACCCCCAATAACAATTCAATCGACAAGAGGAAAAGCATTCCCTAATCAATACCAAAGGCCTCTCCTGAGTTATCAATGGCTTCCCAAATCAACTATCAAGCCTATTTCCATGGACTCAAGCAAATAAGGGACATTAAACACAATACTTAACTTCCTAATCATTCAATTATCTACTTCCGTGATGACCTTCAAACCCTTAATTGAAATACCCAAATTCCGTTAATATTCAACTTCCGTTGCAATAAAAACAAAGGGACGATAACAATACCAATTATTCCTAATCTAGTATTGGCATAAACACAATCAATCAAGCATGTCAATTGGAAATATTATTGGAGAATTTAAAAATTAAATCTAAGCATTAATCATATCCGGGCTTTGCAAGATCCCGGATTATGAATATACTCACACATGCGAACAAAACCAAAAGCAAGATTCAATAGAGAAGACATAATCAATAAGCAATAATAATTGAAAGAGAAGTGAGATAGATGAATACCAAAATTGCTTCAATTGAAAGAACTCAAATTGTTGATGAATAATAATCAAAGCTAAGAGAGGAATTAAATTGCTAAAAGAAAGTAAAACTAGGGTTCTTAGAGAAAAACTAATACTAGAGGATATAATAATGTGTTTTCTAATTGTGATTACAAAGGGTATTTATACCCCCAAAAAGATAGAATTGCGAAAATAAGCAAATCGGCTTCCGCAAAACAGTGCCCGGTCCAACCGGGCAAGGGATGCCCGATCGGGCGGCTGGAGAACGGCGCCTCTTGTTCTTCGTTGCCTTCTTGTTTCTTCCTGTGCCCGGTCCCAACGGGCAAACCATGCCCGATCGGGCGCGCAAGGCAACTCCAAAATGATTACTTGAGATGCTGAAATTCTAACTCTTCAGTGCCCGATCCAACCGGGCGAGGGGTACCCGATCAGGCACGTAGAGTCTACAGCATATACTTCATAGCTAGCTCATCCTTCTTTGCCCTATCTGACCGGGCAAGCTAGGGTCAACGGGGCATGGGGGAAACCTTCATCTTCATACACCAACCTCTTCTATAACCTTCCAAAACACGTCCGATTCGTACAAGAAACTCCGTATTCCTATGAAACTCAATAAAAATACATTGAACACACTAGAGAAGAGATTGTTAGCGAGAAATGGCTCCATAGAGCCTAAAACCATGCAAATATACATTGTAAAATCGGGATAAAACATGGTATAAAACTCATACATCAATAAGGCTTGCTTTACAACTCTTGATGATCATGAACATGCACATTTAATCTCCGAAGCCAAACTGAATGCAATATCATATGAAAAAAATCATAACGTTGAGGAGGTGAATGCACTTCAAAATGCTTCCTTACTTGAAGCACTCTTCTATACATCTTCATATGTCGTACCCTAGAAATGCTCAACAAAATCGTTTTCAACTTCGGTATGTCCTCGACAGCGACCTCAACCGAGAAGGCCTTCCAATTCAACACATCACTAAATGGTGGCACGTAGTGGTCGGAGATAAGAACCGGCACACACCCGGTGTAGATCGCTTCGACTATCCTAGGGCTCGCCACCTCGTAACCACTAGGGCAAAGACAATATTTACTATTTTTAAGCAAATCATAATAGGAGACATTTTGTGGGAGGTATGTGTGGATTCTCATATCTTCATCACTTTTGTTCCCCCAATGCTCTAAGAGGGAGGGCCTAATAGGCCCGTGATTCCCACCCGCGAAGAAGGCCAAGATGGATCGATTCGAAGGGGATGGGCCGCCAAAGAACGTGCTCGTTGGCCCCGGTTGGAGGTTGATCTCAGGTAGTGAAACATCTTTCCGAGGCTGAAACTCTTCGGAGGTATTAGCATTGCATAGGACCCTAATTGAGTTCTCCTTTAGGTAAGGGACTGAAAATGATGCTATTGGACCCTACATGAACAAATCAAAGTGGCAAGTTAATATGTACATTGTGTATAGAATGGAATAAAACGGAGATCAGATATTACCTCCGTTAATTGTTATTTGCAACTCTGAAATTTTTTATATCTCACAAATAATACCCAAAAGTTGCAAATAACAATTAACGGAGATAGTAGTACATATTTGTTAGAAATCAATTTTGTACGTACCCAATCATGACAAGAGAGCATAAAGTGATCGGCTGCAAGGCTTCGATTCCAAAAAGGATATTTGCTAGAAATAACATCAATATAGTCTGTAACAGTATGTTTTATGAAATCAAAGCTGCGTGATTCCGGTTGATAAAGAAAATGAACCATCATAGTGACACTAAAAGGAAGAAAGAAAACATGAGCCTTGTTAGGGTTCTTGGTTCGAAATTGATCATTGACTTCCATTTGGTGTATGAAGTTCCCTTCAGTTGAATATATACTTTTACAAGGACCATTGTGGAACAATGGGGATTCCCCTTCCTCATAAACAAACACTTTAAACCGTTTCTCCATTTCTATGTAGCTCCTGTGCAATGAAATGCAATGCATCAAATTAAACATACTCCGTACAAAGTTTATGATATTGTGAACATCATCAATAAATCAATAGTATTATTAAAACTCAAGACAAGGATTATCATTATGCCATGTGTCACTATTTTCCAGCATGTCATCTTTCTTTATTAATTGACAAAGCGCCACATAAGTGATTATATGTCAATGTGATAATCGCAGCAATAATCCCATGAGCTATTACTTGTTTTATTTATAATTCATATAGTGAATAAGAACACTCCATAATAGTTTCTAGCAAAATAATATTGTTTCTTCCTTGATTTACGCTTAATAATTCAATGGTTTTAATAAATTGCCTAAAATTTATTTGTGACTTACATTGTCCATAATAACATAATGGAAAAGCTAATTAATTTTCCTCATACTAATTAAGTTTGTAACTGAAAAAACAAATCTGACATTATATCAATTTTACCCCTTCATATGTAGTATTATTATTCTTGGTTCTTTGTAGTTTTAACGTTAATGGCATCACCAATACTAACCTCATTAAATTATTTTATTTTCCCCTCAAATAAATGTTTAGAAATTTATAACTCTTTCATATAAATAATCCATTGTATCTCAAATATGTCCTTACTAATCACCCCTCTATATTCCAAATTAAAATAGAATATGTTAGCTTCCATTATTGGAGTTGAGAGAGATCATCAAGAATGGTTGATCTATTTCATAGTATTTTGTGTGGGTGTTGTTATGGAGAGAAAGATTGCATATACATCAATAAAAGGATGGACTATACAGCCATGTAATAGTGAAAAGGTAAACAATAATTAATTATTATCCATATTAATATCCAAATCTTAACTGATTTCTTTAATCGGTTATTTTTATCTTGTGTACGTTCAGCATAAATCAAATACCTATAATGTGACTTCAACATGAACATGATTCATGTCCAAAAAATATAAAATAAAATTTACATGATGACGAGCAAGTACAGTTTGTTATAAATTGTTGTAGGATGAAATTACTAACCTCTTTGGAATGAAGAGAGGGGATTATGTGGAAGAAGAAGAAGTGAGTATTATTTACAAATTATGTTAGTGGAGTTGAAAAAAAAAAATAGTATTAGCTATACTATATGCACATCGAATTATATATTAAGACTTTAGGGAGGATTAATGATGAACGTTACTGTTTTATATTAAGCAGAAAATTATTAAAATTTATGGATCTAATACAAATACTATATCATCTTATTCCTATACATATAGAAGAACTCCACAGTCTAATAATTTGCTTAACTCAATTTTTATTATATCAAACATGTAATGATACGGGGCAACGTCAGGGCCAACAATTAGTTACTGATTAAAAAACCTCAGCTTTTTAATAATAGTACAACATCTTAATTTAATAAGGTTTTTTTTCGTTCATTATGTTATTTTTTTATATAAGATCATTTATTCTTTTTATAAATTTTCAATGAAATCATGTCAAAAGAGAGTCTAACTACATACAACTTTACAAGTCTAGCAAGGTTCCATATATTTTAAAAGCAATTAGTAATTGGAAAAATAACCCACTCCTTCCTCTTACTCAATAATGTGAAACCATAGTCGTCGCAGTTGACGTGTGGATTATTTCTGATCCTTTTTCCTTTCTTAACTTTCTTTTACTCCGCAACAAACAAGCACACAAGTATATTGTTGTGACTTAATTACTACGAAGTATTCAACTATTCATTAGCAAAAATCTGAAAATTCAACCTATTTGGATTTGGAGCCTCAACTTCAAGCGGGTCCGAATCCTCTATCCCACTATTGTGTCTCATTCCATGTACTATTCCATTTCATTGATCAGCATCATTGAAGATATCCACTTTCTTTATTTAATTTTGAATAGCAAATTAAATTAAATAGAATTTACACAATTTATATCCTATTTCTTATCCTTTTTTTTATTTTTTTTTTCTATATACAATTACGTTTAATTCAACTCCAATATTTTTTTCTCTTTTATACTACCTCCATAACTCTACTTCAAGCATACATGTACCGAATTAACCGAACGATTAGTTACCTAGTTAATTTTTTTATTTATTTTTAGATCTTGCTGCATAATAACGGTTTTATTGGAACTTTTTAATTTGTTTTCTTAAGGATTTCTTATTTTTTTTTAAAGTGTAGATCTTGTTACTTGGCCATTGAAATTAGATTTGGAATGAATCATTTCACTTCATCCAATACACATGCATGTATGAGTAACTGAACGAACTTTCGACGTGCATTTTAAACTACTGTTGCATGATTTGTTTAGGTCAATTCCGTACTATTTGATTACATTTACATTATAATATGTTATTTTGGGCTTTTCATTTGACAAAAATAGATAAATAAAGGAAATTTCAAATGTTTTTTCACTCTAATACAATAACATGTGTATCCATGCACTACATCTCAATTGTTTACAAAGAAAAATTATCCTTGATTAATTGACGGTATTTTTATTTGATGTTAAATGGAGTAGTTTGTTTTAGGAGAAATAATTAACGAGCTTTTACAATAGTAAATAAAACTAAAAAATGTTCTAGTTTAATTTGAAGAGTTATGTTTATAATAAACCACCCGCATGAATGTTTTCTCATTTAGGTGTCTTAAATATGTTCCGATTTGAAATCTTTTCTTTTTGAACATGACTTATAATCCCAAAATATCCTTATTAAACAACTTTAATTCCATAATTGAGAGCAAAACAACGTGACAAGAGTCAAAAGTTAAGCATTAATGACAGCTTATATCAATTATATGTACTTTAAATTAACATAAAATCACACAAATCCTGACCAAAAAAATTGATAATGTGTAGCGACTAACCATCTAGAGCAGTTCATTCTCTTGTCAACAAGCCAATTATGAACATGCACCATTTAGTGATTGACTAGGATAAGATAGGAATACATTTATCTAAAATAATGTATAACTATCTGACACTACTTCTATTAATTTATAAATATTGCACTATTTTTTATTTAAGAAATATTTATCACGTTATGAATAACTAATTGTTATACCGTTATTAATATTTTGTGACTTCATTCTTTACTCACTTTAGTCTGATCTTGGGTTTGTGGACGATTATACAGTACTTCATATCTCTTTACTTTTTTCCATATCCTTAATAGGCTTAATTCTTGTGCTTCTCTAGTCCCTAGATTCTCTATACTATATATAAGGAATATACTTTATATATATATATAACATTAACAAAATGGTGGAAACAACTAAGATATCATACGACGATGAAAGTATAGATGTTACATTGTTGAATTACTCATAAGTTAATATATAACTACAATTGTGAAATTTTTATCAATATTAAATCGATTTTACCACTATTCTATTAAGGAAAGAACGTAACATTAGATTTTTCGACTATCATAAAGTAATTAGTAGAGTTATCAAAAGAATGCAAAAATACACTCTACATAACACTTCATTTATACTTGGCATTACTTAATAATAAGAGAATATAATTAAAAAATTAGTGGAGTATACCATAACATTACGTATAGTATAAAGTACCTGTGAAAAGCATTGGCATTCCAATAAATCGGACCGACGGGCTGAAAGTCGGGATCTTGATACGTACGATTTGTTGTATACTTAGCTTCCTTGATTGCTGCTCGGACCTTTTGTAGTCCTATTTCAAGCTTATCTATATCACTAGCAACCTTCTCTTCTATCATTGTGGGAGAAAGAGAAGCATTTGCATGTGTTTCATCAAAGATATCATTGGAATTTGGACTCATCTCCTCCTTCACTATTACTGAAGTCTCGTTTCCATCCTGTTCACGAAACCTACTTAGTCTTTATGCGTAAAAACACGGAAAATTCACGTCACTAAATTTTTAATCTTATACGCTCAAAATTGGTTGTCATGTTGATACATAGTGTAATTTAAACTATTAACTATGAATACTTATTCTCTGAAGTAAGAATTATGATGTATGGTACTAAAAATGGACAATTGGACATGGGTTGAATCGGCACACAAATTGGTTAGGCACGACACGAAATTAGTTTGACTCGACAAGAGCTTGTCACAAGTATAAAATAACAGTTTTTCTTGGCCCCGCTAAACGTATCCTGTTTGATAAGCATGAGGCACGCTGACAATATGGCACGGGCGCACGACCACCTTGCCCACCTTTATACGGTACAATTTGTAACAAATCCAATTTTAAGTATGTTATTTATGCGATTTTTTGTATGTTATGTAAGTGAATAATCAATTCTATAAGTGGATTAGTGGTAAACAATTTTTGGCTTACATCATTCTACTACAAATCTACAAAGTCAAGTCATTCATTCTATATTTTTTTTTTATTAATTAATAAATATGGGAAAATGTGCATTTTGCACTTTACATTTATTTTCTTTTTTGAGGGAATTGTGTACCCATGCAATTTTCTTTTCTTACAAGTTACAACTTTGGGATCCATGCTATTGCTCACACACCCTCATCAACACTTTTCCTTTTTATTGGAAAACGGTGATTAGCCAATTAATTCATTAATTAGGCACCTTGCTCCCCAGTGCCGTTTTATTACTTGTACCTTATTTAATTGTTAAGCGTTTACTTACCAACACTAATTGTAAAATTAAGGCATTTAATTAATTAATTACGATTGCAGTTTGTTACTCTACTCAACTTTTATTTGCTCTTTCCTTTTTGTTTGAATAAAATTCTTTTGAAAGTGCATTTCTTTAATGCCATTTAATTACTTGAATTGCATCATACTCCATAATTAATAGTTAAGCGTTTACTTATTGTTAAGCGTTTACTAATTTACTTATTGGCACTAATATTAAATTATTGCATTTACTTCTATGATTTTGCTGAATTTTTATATGCACTTTTATTAAAAACAATACTCCGTAACTTATTCGATGTTTAAAGGGGTTTTTTTTTCCCTTAAAAAAAAGGTATTCTTTTTTTCTTTTCTTGATAAGATGTTACTCCGTAAAAGTTTTCTAATACAAGTGTAATAACCCCTGCCACATAGTGTGGCGAGCCACATACATATGAAACTTTGTGAACAACAATAGTAATACAGAATAATACTCCATAACAAATAAATAAATAATTAATTATTTAATTTTAATAATACTGGAGTTATAATTATATTTTTCTGATAAAAAAAAAATTGGTGTGCTAGTGCTACATTAGTGTGCTACCAACAGTTCCAAACTCTCTACAGAAGGTAAGAATATTCACAACAACCCAGCACATCAAAACCTCATAATTTCCATTTTTGAACATGTAATTATTAATAAACATTATGAATGAAACTCCAAAATAATTAATTAGCATGTAATTTAATGCAAGCAACGTAACAACCTTGAAAGAATAATAATTAAGAAAGAGTGAAAAATAATCATCTTACTGGTGCAAAAACCGGAGAATTAGCAGCAGCCTGAATTACAAGATTATGAGGTGTTGATAGAACATAGTCCTCTGCTACAACATTAGCTTCCTTTGTTATTCCTCCTATTTCGCCATCGATCCTTAACCTCAAATCTTTGGTAGAAACTCTAATTGATGAAGTTTTTGACGACAACGATGAAAGTGAAAGATCGGGAGTTATTCCTTTGTTGAATGAAATAAAAACAGTTAGCAAAATCAATGGAATAGTGAAACAAAGTATTAGTTTCACTAATGGTGAAATATACAAATAACCCATTTTTGTACTTTTATTTTGCTTTTGGAATGGTTAGTTTTCTTGAGGAAAAGAGTGGATGTTACATGCTTAGTGAAGGTTAGCTTAGTGTTTGGTTGAAGGAGAATAAGATGGAAGAGAAAGTTTTGAGGGTACGTTTTTTATTGGATTATTACAAGTCTTATTAACATAGCCGCTATATAAAGAGCTAAATAAATAAAGTGGGTCCAAAAATAGAGAGAAAATAAACTAATTAGAGAATTGATAGCATTACGTATTTGATACAAGATACTCGAAGTACTCCGTACACCACTATGCCAACCACATTTTCGCCTCCGTGCAAAAAACAATTAGGGTCTGTTCGCCAAAACTAGTTGTAGATGTTGGCTATTAGCTTTCGAGTAGTTGTTAGCTGTAGAGGTAGCTGTGAGCTGTCAAGTAGTAGCTGGTAGAGGTCAATTGTCAAGGTAACAGTTCATACTATGAGTGCTTGGTAAAAGTAGAGATTGAAACTATAAAAGAGGTTATTATTATTATTATTATTATTATTATTATTATTATTATTATAAGTGTGTCATGTATCATATGTTTGATAATTATAAATATACTGTAGTATAATATATAATGCAATTAAGCAATCAATTTTAAAAATAAGATAGGAAAAAAAAAAAAACAAATACTCCTCATAATGGAAGAAAAATAAATGAATACGAGTAGAAAACTTGATATTATGGTTGACTGAAACATATAATACTGAGTCAAAAAGATAAAAAAAAAAATGTTCATTAGAAAACTAAAATAAATAAATAAATAAAACTAAAAAAAATAAGGTTGAACGCTACTTTAAAATTTCAAAAGCTATCTTTTTTAGCATTCAACAACAGCTACTTAAAAGCTATCTCTACCTCTAACAGCTAGTTAAAACACTACTTCACCAAACACTAATATTTTTTAAGGTAGTGTTTTAACTAGGTCTAAAAGCTAACAGTTACCTTAAAAGCTAACGCCGAACAGGCCCTAATTAAGAAAGAATAGAGTACAACACAAATTTTCATATGTGGCCGGAGTTACTTATTTAGGGGTTACTTAGTCGGTAAGGGGTTACTCAGTCAGGGGTTATTGGTTAGGGGTTACTCGGTTAATCAGGGATTACTTATTTAGGGGTTACTCATATAGTTAGGGCTTAGGGGTTACTTGGTTAGCGATTACTTGGTCGATCAGGGGTTACTCTGATCACTCAAAAAATGCGCTAATCGACTGAGTAACCCCAGACTAAGTAACCCTTGACCGACTGAGTAATCCTTAAATAAGTAACCCATGCCACACGGTGTGACTAGCTACACAAAAAAAAAAACACCATTTTGTAATTCCTTTCAAAGCAAAGTAGTTTCTTCACTAGCCTAGTGCGTATCCTAAAAGATGTTCCGAGGTGGTTTTTTTTTTATTTAAATGATGTTCCGAGGTGGTTGGTTTTTTTTTATTTTTTTTTATTATTAGTATGTGTCTAGTAAAGAAAAATTGATTTCATAACTTGATGAGTAATTGCAGGATTTTTTTTATTTATTTTTGTTTTTTTTAAGACTTAAGACTTAGAGTTGGAGAATGAAAATATAGCTTAAAATAATACTTCCTCCGTCCCATAATATAGTTCTTGTTTGTGTTTTTTCACAATATTTAAGAAATAGGAGGAAAAAGTGGATGAAATACATTAATAAAAGTGAAAAGTACAATGAATAAAGTTAAAAAAGTGAAGGTATAATTGTCTTTATATACTAACCAAAAATAAAAACAGAAACAATATTTTGAACCTCTAAAATAGGAAAACAAGAACTATATTATGGGATGGAGGGAGTATATAATATAATCTCTACAAGTAATTGCATCTTTTTTGAGTCAATTAGTTTTTCTCATGTTTCTAGGCCTGTAATTCCGTGGCTTATCTAGTTGCTAGATGGGACACGGGTGAGAATTCGGAGTATGTTTGTACTAGTTCTTTCCCCTATAACTTAATCTCTTTGGCAGAAATTGATTTACTATTATAAAATGGCCCGTGCTTTTTATTTTTTTTTATTTTTTTATTTATTTTTTTTTAAAGTAAAAAATAATCTATACAAGTAATTGTATAAAATGATATTTATCTGAAGCAATATATTAATTGTCGTATCACAATTACATCTTGAAGATCGTGTAAAGGTAAAACAAGAACATCATTTTGTGATGAGAGAGTAGTAGCAATTAGATATACGAAGTCATTCAGATTTCAGATCAAATCCAAACCAAATTCTTAATTGGTATTGAGCTCTACAGCCGCTGTTAAGAACTTTCAAAAAAAAGGACTAAGGCCATATTTGAGAAATAAAATTTAGCTATTTTGGTCGGCTGTTAACTATTAGCTATTTTCGTCAGTTGTTAGCTTTAGCTATTAGCTATTTACATTAACTGTTTTGACTAATTGATTGTAATCAACTATATGTGTGAAAAGTATCTGGTAAATACTTATTAGATATTACTTGTTCTAATATACTTCATGTGTCTCAGAATAATTGACACAATCAAACTTGGCGCACATGCCAAATTGCCGATACACTAATTTGACCTTATTTATGTAATCAAATATTGACGAAATTTATTAAAAAATTATGTTATAAAACTTTATTTTAATACTTATCTAATAACATATTTTATGATGTAAAATATTTTATTATTATGTTAGTAAAAAACTATGGTCAAAGTTAATATATGAATAGTGAATAAAAAATTCAACGTGTTAATTATTCTAAGATGGAATGAATATAAAATATGTTCAAGCAACTCTTTTTTGCTCAAAAAAGCTTAGGGAAATTATCATTAGCACACCTCAGAGTTGGGCTTTTATCAATGATACGCCTGCTTAAGTTTTAATTATCAGCGGTGCACCTGTACGTTCAACTATTCTGTTAATTAAACATTAGTAATAAGTTAATGACTTGCAATTTTGACCAATTTTAACTCTCTCCTTTTTTTTCCCTCCTTAATTTCCCTCCTATATTTAAAGTAACTCACCCACCTTTGTCATAATATAAACGAAGCCCCCTCATTTGCTATGAATTATGCAACTTCTTCTTCATTTTGCTTTTCTTATTTTTTATTTTATTTTTATTAACTCTATTTTGCTTTACCCTCAGACATATCAATACAAGCGATCAATATATCTCCTCCACATCAAACTATGAAATAAAGGAGGGTGGCTTCGTTTATATAATGATAGAGGTGGGTGGGTTACTTTAAATATAGGAGGGAAATTAAGGAGGGAGTTAAAATTGGTCAAAATTGCAAGTCATTAACCTACTACTAACGTTTAATTAACGGAATGCTTAATGTAGTTAATTAGTTGAAATATAGGTGTACCGCTGATAATTAAAATTTAAGCAAGTGTATCATTGATAAAAGCCAAAACATGGAGTGTACTTAGGAATGGCAACGGATCGGATTCGGGTCAGATGGAGCTTCACCCGCATCCACCATCCGCTTCATCCGATCCACCCGTCACCCGCAAAACCCATCACCCGCATTCGATCCATCCGTCATCCGCGGGAGAAACGGGTGGATCGGATGCTTAGCGGGTGATAATTATAATCCCTACTCTACCTCTCTAATACATTATTTATATATATATATAAAAAAAAAAAACTTTAAGCCAATTTAAAACTTGAAAAATAAACCATTAATTAGCTTCTAATCCCAAACTATAGCAATAATCACAAAAAAATAATCATAAAGTATGTAATTAAGTTGTACTGTATATTACTTAAAAAAAACAAGATGTACTGTATACTTCGTATTAGGGGGGCTTTTATTTTTGTAAAAATAAAATACAAAATTTTTTAGAAACTACTCTGTACGCCTTTTATTTTAGAAAATATGTACACATATAAGGTGAAATTTTTGTTTTGGAAAAAACAATAATTTATATGTATTTATATTCGGGTGGATGGCGGATCGGGTGATAAACGGATGACGGATTGGGTAATGCATGAAACGGAGCTCCACCCGAATCCGACCCGATCCGTCACCCGCCCTTCATCCATTTAATGCGGATTTTCATCCATTTATTTATATCGGGTGGATCCGGTTTGCGGATATCCATTTAGAATTGCAAACCTTAAGTGTACCAATGATAATTTCCCAAAAGCTTATAACCAAACACCCCTTAAATATTATTTTTCTTCCAATATTTGCTCCCTCCGTCCCTTATTTTTTGCCCCATTGTGAATATATACTCCGTAGGTCAAATTTATGAAACCGACCATGAATTTTCGTTAATCTATAAGAGATAATGTATACTCTCTCTGTCCCATAGCACTTGGAACGTTGGGGTGGACACGTAGTTTAAGAAATTACAAGTGGATCTATTTAAAACATTTGTTTATTATATAAAAAATTCTCTTTCGTTTTTTGATTGGCGCTCTTTCTCTTTTGTTTTTTATATTACAAGAAAACAACAAGTGGAGTGGCCTGGTGGGAGTAGGGTAGATGAGGAGAGAGAAAATGTGGGAAAATATTTTTTTTATTTGTGGTCCCATTTCATATTTAGTAATGAGTCAAGTATTGTGGGTTAGACGAAAATGAGAACTGTGTCAAGTAATATGGGACAGAGGGTCGGAGGGAGTACATGTGAGTTTTTGTTAAAATTATCTTATTGTATACTTCCTCCGTTTTTTATTAGTTGATACGTTTGATATTGGCACACAGATTAAGGAAAGATGAGAAGGAAAGAGAAAATACAAAACTACCCCTACAAAGTTAAAACCCACCCACCACAAACTTGCCTAATAACCTACCCATTTCCCACGTTGGAAAACATAGCAGCTAGTCACCAAGCCCACTACCACGGCACCACCACCATCACCACCACCACCACCACCTTCCATCACTTAACAACTCCACCACCATCGTCAAATTTGCAACCCACATAATGGCTAGATTAAAAAATTAATCTTAATTTTATTTCTTTATTGGAGATTTCTCCGGCAATGTCGGCATCAACAACTTTCAATTCTCAGATTCGGTGAAATGTCTTAACTCCATCATATCCTCTCTGAATGCACCGCCCATACGAGTGGTGGGTATGAGGAGAGAATTGAGGCGGCGATGGAAGAGAAAGAAGTCGGTGACGGCCGACGAGAACGACGAGTGAATTCTGACGTGTCAACTAATAAAAAACGGATGTAGTATTATATTAATATCAAAATTTTATAATATATGCATAGAAATGGAGATACATACGTTTGAACACGCGTCTTGTAAAACGTGAAAAGTCAAATGAGGCAAAAAAAAAAAAAAAAAGGGATAAATGGATTACAATTTAAAAACCTTAACCGTACCAAGCCCGTTGCCAGACCCGGCCCATTGCCTGCATCCACCAAAACACCTCCCTTCCTGACATTCAAACAACTCTGGATAACACAAAAAACATTACAGAAAACAGAGCAACCAACATTACATACCCCTTCAATTTACCAAGAGGATATGGTTCGCGCCATTAATGGCATCAACCTCTTCTCCTCCTCAGCTCTTTCTCTCTCCTCTTCTTCACCCTCCTCCTCTTCAATTCCCCCCAAAATTCATCCACTCTTCTTCAATTTCTCTCTCCAAATCCAACACTTTCGCAACTTCTGCTGCTCAATTCCTCACAAATTCACAAATTTCACCTGTTTTCCAGCAACCCCATCTCCCATTTTCTTCTCAAAACACTGAAAACGAACCTTTTTCGCTGGAAGACGCACAAATTCTCTACCATAAGTGCCTCGAGTTGCTTAAATTGTCTGCGCGTTACGCCGATGCCGAGCTCGTAATAGCAGTTCATACATTGATTGTGAAGTTGGGAGAGGATAATTACTTGCTTAATTCGTTGATTACTGCTTATCTTAAACTGGGTTTGCTTGATGATGCTTTTGCTGTGTTCAAAGGGATGTCGAATCCTGATGTTGTTTCTTATACTGCGATGATTTCTGGGTTTGCAAAATCTGGATATGAATTTGACGCAATTGGGTTGTTCATGAAGATGAGAAAGAGAGGTATTGAGCCTAATGAGTTTACTTTTGTTGCATTTTTAACTGCTTGTTCTAGAATTTCTGGGTTGCAATTGGGGTTTCAGATTCATTCATTGGTGGTTAAATTAGGGTATTTGTTTTCTGTTTATGTTGCAAATTCTTTGACGGGGTTGTATAGTAGGTGTGGTTTTTTGGATAATGCACTCCAGGTGTTTGATGAAATGCCTCAACGAGATATTGCGTCGTGGAATACTGTTATATCTAGTGTTGTGGATGAACTGATGTATGATAGGGCTTTTGAATTGTTTCATGAAATGGTGAGAGTAGATAGGTCTAGGGCTAACCATATCACGCTTTCGAGCCTTATAAGTGCTTGTGCTGGGAGTTGTGCTCAAGTCTCGGGACGAGAAATCCATGGTCACGCGCTTAAGATGGGATTTGATAATAATTTGAGTGTTAGTAATTCACTTATTGGGTTCTACACGAAATGTGGCACTGCTAAACATGTTCAGGCTTTGTTTGAGCGAATGCCTATCAAGGATGTCATTTCTTGGACAGCTATGATTACCGCTTATATGGAATTTGGAAGGATTGAATTAGCTTTGGATATTTTTAAGAAGATGCCAGAGAGAAATTCTGTCACTTTCAATGCCGTTTTAGCAGGGCTTTGTTTGAATTCAGAGGGTTTAGGAGCTTTATCTCTGTTTTGTGAAATTGTTAACCGTCGTGTTGAATTAACAGAAAACACACTAACAAGTGTTATCAGCGCGTGTAGTTTACTTGGAGAAAAGAAAATTAGTGAACAGATACATGGCTTTGTGATTAAGTTTGGCTGTAAATCAAATGCTTGTATCGAAGCTGCTCTAGTAGATATGTGCACAAGGTGTGGGAGGATGACAGATGCTCAAAAGATGTTTCAGCAGAGCCAATATGATCAAAATCTTTCAATAAAATGGACCTCTTTAATTTCTGGATATGCTCGAGATGCACAGCCGGAAGAAGCAATGACTTTGTTCAAGTGGGGCCAATCTGAACAAGCCCTGACAGTTGATGAGGTTGTAGCAACTGCAGTACTTGGTATCTGTGGAACTCTAGGATTTAATGAGATGGGAGAGCAAATGCATTGCCATGCCCTAAAATCAGGACATCTGTATGATGTAAGGCTAGGTAATGCTGTTATCAGCATGTACTCAAAGTGTGGTTACATGGAAGATGCTTGGAGGGTTTTCAATCTTTTGCCCATGCATGATGTAGTGTCATGGAATTGTTTGATTGCTGGCCACCTTCTTCTAAGAGAGGGTGATAAAGTGTTGGCTGTTTGGTCGAGGATGAAGAGGGAACACATAAGACCTGACTTAGTTACACTTATTCAAGTAATTTCTTCTTACAGGCATACCAAGTTGAATATGCTAGATGATTGCCGGAGATTGTTTTTCTCATTAACTAGGGAGTATGATGTTGAACTTACTTCAGATCATTATGCCTCCTTTGTTAGCGTTTTAGGCGAATGGGGTTTCCTTGAGGAGGCTGAGGATATAATATCTAAGATGCCTTTTGAGCCAAAAAGCTCAGTATGGAGAGCATTACTTCATAGTTGTAATCTTCATTCAGACTCGATTGCTGGAAAGAGAATAGCAAAACATATTCTAGATATGCAGCCCGAGGATCCTTCTACATATATACTCATATCAAACTTGCTCTCTGCATCTGGTAGATGGCATTGCTCTGAATTGGTTAGGGATGAAATGAGGAGGAAAGGGATCAGGAAACATCCAGCACGTAGTTGGATTGCTCATAACAACAAGGTGCATGCATTTTTTACCAGAGATAAGACTCATCCTCAATCAAAAGACATCTATAGTGGATTGGAGATCCTGATCTTGGAGTGCTTAAAGTCTGGATATGTACCTGATACAAGCTTTGTTCTTCATGAAGTGGAGGAGCACCAGAAGAAGGAATTCTTGTTCTATCATAGTGCAAAACTAGCAGTGACATATGGCCTTTTGATGACCACGCCAGGAAGACCTATTAGAGTTACAAAGAATGTTCTTTTATGTGGCGATTGCCATAACTTTTTAAAGTATGTATCAAGAGTCACTAGAAGAGAGATATGTGTTAGAGACACCTCAGGCTTTCACTGTTTTTCTAATGGCAAGTGCTCATGCAAAGATCACTGGTAACTTGTACCTGCACCGATTGAATATGGTCTTGCTTATCAAACCATTGGAGGATCAAAAGTCCAAAGCTCTTGTATGTGATATATTCAAAAGCTGAGATGGCTGAATGTATATACATGTTGAAGGAGAAACTAAAGTATAGTAGGAGGATGAAATTTTGAGGTATATAATACAAATTTACACAGTACTGCAAAAAACTATTGCCCTACATAATTTTCCAGCTGTACGCATTCTTTTTGCATTATTTTCATCGGAAGAATTCTCTCTGCATATGTGACTAGTTCAGTAGTCTTGCCAACCTCTCCCTGTATGTGTCTCCTGACTTTCATATTGTTGTCACTTCCATTCAATATCTTCACACTTGCTTAAAGAATTAGCCTTTCAATATTTCTTGCTTTAGTGGTGCTTACTTCTTGGTGACTGGTAATGCAATGCTGCTAATCAAAACACAGGCATCATATTGGATTCCATGTTTAGATTCTGATTTGGAACTTCCTTTTTCTTCTATCTCCTATTGAATTTTCTAATTTAAGTGTTGCTGCTGCTGAGTTTAGGTTATGCTTGATTAGCTTCTAAAAATCTGCTGTTAGTTTCATATCTGCTCCTTGCCTGATCATACTGATTGTGCCTCATACCCCTCTACACATCAAGTTTGCACTGGAAGTGTGAAACTAAGCAAACGTATTGCTATATGGGTTAAAAAGCAGGTGCTCATTGCTCCTAAATTGAAGCTGCAACCTACTGCTGAATTCTAGGCTGTTGCTGGCGTACCATCACATACTCTTGATCTTACCTCTTAATGTTGGTAAACTGACCTGTCACAGGATACGGCATCAAAATACTGTTAAGAATTGCATCACGAATATCTTGAGTTTGTCATGGCTTTTTTTAAGATGAAATTTTGTTTTGTTTACTTTTATTGCTGATGTGATGTCTCTGGAGCTGTGGATGATGAGTAACGCTAAGTAAGGAGCTCCAGCTCAACCCCCTCCCAAGAAGATGTTTAATGCCAATGGTGGGAAATTTGCTGCAGCAAATTCATTGTTTCTTCTATCTACCAATCTCTCTTGTCCTTGTTTAATTAGTTGGTACAGCTAACATGGTCATGCACACTGTCATAAACACACTAGTCCTGGTGTATGATGCTAAATGTTGTGTGTTGTGCTCTAAACTCTTGTAGGTAAGGATTAAACTGCTTTACATGTAAATATAGAGCCCCCCCCCCCCCCCCCCCCCCCCCCCCCCCCCCCCATCCTCTCTATCTGGCAATTAGCAATTAGCTGTGGGCTTTGTTTACCATGGCATACTATTTTGCAGGATATTTTTCTTATTCAACTGATTACTTACTGATGATTATTAGAACCCGCAAGATGCTCAGCAAACGGTGTAGACTCTGAAGTTTCTAGAAATAGTCAACCAGCGCTAGCTCTAATTGTTTCCTTTGATTTTGAGATAGCTCAATACCTTTTTTTTTTTTTTTTAAAAAAAAAAATTATGTATCTTATCTTTGAATTACTTCTTTGTCCCATTTTCTTCTTGAAATAAGAAATGGGCCTCTTTAATCTTGTTTAACAATCTGATGCTATTTATTCATTGTCATAATACCAATAGTTGAGCTGTTTGTAATGTATATGATCACATTGCTGTTGTCTGCACCCAGCTATTATTTAATTTTTCTTGAACCTTATTCTCAGTTTTTTTTTCTATCTAGTTTTGATGTCCTCCTTTTCTGTGTATTTTAAAATCTATATATTATTTAAAGCGAAGGAAATTACGCAGCATGTCATCATTACCTTTACCAACTTCCAGTTCAATTGTATTTCGTCCAGATATCTACGTTGCCTAGGAAAGCTTTTGCAGATTAGGAGCTGTGTACTAAGTGGTATAGGATTTCGTCTTCTTGTTTGCTTGTTGCATCCAAGCCATTATATAGATGGGGGAGAGATGGTTTTCCTTCCTCATCTCCCCCCTCTTCATTTACATCAGCTTAGCTCAAGTTTTATCTCTGTTAATATACAACATATAGCATAATATACTGGTCTCTTGAACTGATTTCTTCAGGCTTCAAAGATTTTCCATTATCTAGCTGAGACAACATCAGCACAAGAAGCATCTATTTTAGCCAGAGAGACATGATCTCTGCTTGAAGCACCAGGGTCAAAATCCACATCGTGGTGCTTTTATCAGATTATTCAGAGTTGTTTGGACTTTGGAGACCAATTTCTCATTCAAGTTTTGACTGGAATCCTAGCTATAGAGGAGGGAATTTTCATGTTCTGTATGCTTGTGCCTTGCAGTTGAGTTGGCATCAGAAGTACAAGTGTACTTCAGCTCATTTAATTTTCTTTCTGTTATCTTAACCAAGTACATCAACAGCTCTCGCTTTGTAGCAAGCGGGCAGGCAGTGCTAATAACTTTTGGTTGACATTATCTCTTATACAAGCATTGTTGCCAGGTTAGTTATCTTGTAACTTAAAGTCCATATAGCTCTACAATTTTGAAATTTTCATGGTTGAGGATATTATTCAAAAGGCTTTTTTCTTTTTTTTTTTTTTTTTTTTTTTTTTTTTTTTTTGCTGAAAAGAATTCTCTTTAAACACATTGCTTCTTAGTTGTGAAACTTCCTATCTTGGTCCTTCTTCATACGCCTTTATCTTAGATGCCTCTTTCTCTTTATGTGGGTTGGAGGGGTGGGAAGAGCGGACTAATTATTAATGCTATGCTCCTTTGTATTGGTTCACATCTTTATTACATTTTTCTTTGAAATATATCCAACCAAACTAAATATTAAATCAGGTCACAGTAGACCATAAAAAATTACTTGTGTATCCGATGGACTGGAGTCACTGGACTAGAGTAGATCTGGTGTTTTTTTTTTTTTTTTTTTTTATTTCTTTTTTTAATATAAAATAATATACTTCGTATGTTATTGTTGTTTTTGACTTTGGTGAACTTATAGTTAGACCAGAGTACCAGATTACTGTATCGGTAAGAATGAATAAAGCATTTTAGGACTGACTAGATCAGGCAAAGCTCAGACAAGATCATTTTATCTCAACCTTCAGGTGAAAGGAGTATAGTACTCCGTACTGGTTATATTAAGAATTTTTGAGATAGGAATTTTAGAATATATTTATCTATTATAATTATTATGGTGAAAAGATACCCTTAAAATGTGGTAAAAGGTACACTAAGATTGAAGAATGATTGGGTATTATTAGGTCCACATCAGGCGCTTAGGCCTCGACAGCCCTAGGATACACAGTGATCTTGTAGATGCACCAGTTGCGCTTATATGATGACCTAATGAAATCTACTTGGAATGTTTTCTACCTTTTCCTAGGGTTAACAAAATATGAAAGCAATGCTTCAGAGGACCCTTTAATTTTAATAGTCTGAACAACCAGACATACCCCTGTTTTCCAGTTTTGTTCTGTCTCATCTTAATGCTCAAAGAAAGCCATGCACTACATGGAATGTTATTAAAGTGAAGATTACGTTGCTGCTATCAGATCTGATGTATAGAGATTCTGTTTATAATAAAACTATCAGTGGTAAATTCTTTCACGGCTTTAGTTAATATTTGGCCCATTTTCTCATGCTTTCATAAAATTAGATGTCCAAATCCATGCATAGCTATCAATCTTTTTGAGTTTCTTGATTGAATGTTCTTTTCTTAAATTTTTTATAATGTTTCTCATGGAAATATGGAAGTGAATAAAACGATTTCCTTCTCATAATTAAACTCTTGGAATCTTGTAGATCTTCATCCAGCTTGTTATAGTCATTGATGATACTCTCTCGCAGTGGATGCAGCCTTATGTACAACAAGCCTTATTGAAGGTTACATATTGTTTTTGTAGCTGTAAACTTGCATTTTATGGTCCTTTTTTCTTGAATTTTTCTACTTTTTATTCTGGGTTGGGTGGTTCCAGTTTTCTTTCCTCATATATCAGCTGTTGTTTCACAGATTATATCAACATTGTCATCACCAGCTTATCATCCACTTCTCCATGGTTGTGCTGGCTAATCATCTTTATTTCCACCGTCTTATGTGCGTATTTTCTGCTCTCTGCTTCACACTGTATGAGTATATGTCTAAGTGACAAACAGAGTAACAGACAGTTGCTCATTGAGCAGCTAAGCTGTAAAGCCTTTTGTATAATTACTTGCATTAACTATGGTGTGTTATTCCTTAGGTATTAAGATTGTTCAAGTTTGTTTGTATTGGCTTCAGTAGCCTAATGTGCATATATTCTTGTTTTGCTACTAGACTGATCTTTACTTTTTTGGGGCCGTTTTTACTTGAATCGGGTCTTTTTTGAAGAGGGGGAGGGGGCTGCAAAAGAAATGTTATCTTTTAGCTGGATATTTGAAGAACAGTAGAACACTATGGCAGGGATTGTTGGAGACTAAAACTTTTCTAAAAAATGTCTTGGATTTGAAGGGTTTTGAATTTAGTTGGAGTCATGGAAGGGATGGATTTAAGGGTTGCTAAGTTGATCATGTTTTTAAAGGTTAATGAGCATCCAAATTGGTCATAGAGTGGCAAGGGATGAGGGTTTGTCTCTTAATTCATCATATATATTTTTCTTAAAAATATATAATTGTTGGTTGATCTTGAGAATATAAGACTAAAAAGTAAATGCAACATTGGAATAAAATTAGGCTGGTTCAATTCATTGATTATAAACCTATATAAACAGGCGTTTCTGGGATTAGATGCTAAGTTATAATGTGCTATATGTGTTTAGTAGGCTCTTTTTTATGTTATTATTAATTATATATTAAAATGGAACGTGTTTAAATGGCTTTACATACAGAAAATGATATAATTTGATGCCTGGTGCAAGCAAAAGCTGCTTTTGTCCTGATTGACTTGTGCAGCTGTTCACTTGTATCTTGGATGCCTCGAATCTTTGCCAAGGTTAAAACTAAGCAAAAAAGGACGCTCATTCCTCTTTATTTGAAGCTGCAATTTACTGCTGAATTTTAGGCTGTTGCTGGCTTGCTGCTGGGTTTTAGCAGCTTTTCAAAGGGGTTTAATAATTGCTGCAACTCTACTTAATCTTTCTGCTTAATTACATAACTTTTCACTGTGATTGTCCATCTTTATAGACTTTTACACCATTATCATATTGGATGTGTTCTCTTAGAAAAATGTTTTGTCATAATTGTGGCTACCCAATGTTTGTGTTATTTTCTACGCTTATGTGGTTGTAGAAACTGTGACAACTCATCCATCCATGCTTGCTTTTACCTTGTTTTGATTCTGGAGATAGCGATGGAGCTAGTTGAGGGAGCTTTCCGGTTGATAATATGTAGTTTTCTTTGTCATATTTTAATGGTAATGTTTATGTTTGGCCTTGTTGATGAGGTTCTAGTTGCTGTTATGTTTTGATGTTTCTATAAACACGGAAGGATATATGATGTGCACGATAACAAACTTTGAGTACTTCTTTATAAGTTGCGAATAAAATACTTTATGCATCATTGTTCCAACAGCTGAAAAACTGATCGGTTATATATATTATACAACGCACATATTTACAACGCACATATTTTACGTGATTAACTCAACAGCCCAGTGGTCAGGGACTCATGTTAACCATAGGTAGCGATTTCGAACCACAGTAGCAAATTAGTCATCAGTTACCCATTTCCCAACAAATTGAAGCACCAAATGCAGCCTTGTATTATTTCTCTCCATTTCTCCAACTACTTTTATATGAACCGATTGTTGTTGTTTATATTCAAGCAATCACTAGTTTAGGGGTGTAAATGAGCTGATACGTTTAAGTTCGGTCAAAGTTTGGTCAAAATCGTCTGTTAAGCTAAGAAACAAGCTTGAACAAAAATATTAAGCTCGTCAAATAGATGAACAAAGCTTGAACAACATCATGTTCGACTCGCTAATGTTCATGATCAGCTTGTTTAAGTCCATTTATAAGTTTATTCATGCCCAATTAAAGCTTGGACAATTTTTTATATCTTTTATTCATATATAGTTGTAAAAAGTACTATTTATTTTATCATGTAAAAGCATGAAAACTCCGTCATTATCTTTTTCTATAGAAAGAATATAAATATCTTATATAAAATTAAATGGATGTGTTAAAATTAGAAGGAAACCATTTTTTTATTAATAAATTAGGGCTCGTTTATTTAATCAAGCCCGATTTAAACTCGTTTAAGCTCGAACCCAAACTTGAAACGCAAACGAGTACGTTCGTGAACAAAGCTCGAACAAGCCAAATTCTTAACGAGCCTAGCTCGAACAAGATTTTTAAAAGCTCGTTCAAGCTCGAGATAGTTCGAACACGAATAATTCTTATCAAGCTTAGCTCGTACAAACTAAAACTCGGCTTGACTCGGATCGTTTGCAGCCCTACACTAGTTAATCATTAAATTAATATTAAATTCCACTTGTTTAGATTTTAGGATAAAAGTAGAAAGAGAAAAAGTAGGTTTATATATTGATGTAAAATTAGTATTAATTAATTTAAAGAGAGGCTAGTATTTTGAGGAAGTTGAGAGAAAGTTTAACCCCCAGACCGAGTTACAATGAACTTGGAGTAGTGAAACTGGGCCCCCGGGAGCTGCTCAAAAGCTGCTATTTGGGACACTGAAACCGATGATAAAAAAGATGAGGGTTGGTGAGAATGGCCTGTTAATTAACATATTTAGTAGTAATAGAATTTCTGTTTATTATGCTGTTAAAAATTCCATTTTTGACATTTATTGTAGTCCCTAAAGTTTTAACAGCTTAGTATTTTGTTATTATGGTAATAATATCATCAAAAGTCCCTAATGTTTTGTCTATCAGCAAGAAATTCCAAAAAAAACAATCAAGGTCCCTAATGTTTGGTCTAGTCAGCAGCAAAGGTCCCTAATGTTTGGTCCAGTTAACACCCAAGCTCCTTAATGTTTGGTCCAGTCAGCAAAGTAACCACCCAAAGGGGTGGTAGAGGGACCAAATTCAAACTTTTGAAACATGAGTGACTAAAACCAAACTTATACCAAACGTTAGGGACTGTATTTATAGTTTACTCAAGTTTGGAGCACTAGGAAATGCTTAATGACTCTCGTAATCTGATGCCTAATGGTGTGCAAGCTGACCAAAATTTGACCAAGTCTACGAATGATGAGGCGAGTCCCCTGCTATTTTCAGTGGAACATATTATTGTTGATGGTCACGTTGGCGAGGCAAGCTCTGATATGGCTGCACCAGGGTTCACATTTGGTACTCAACCTAAGCAGGTGCAACAAAATTCCCTGACCTTTACAACTAGCTGGTGCATCAGAGGATGTGACTATGAATGTCGAAAATACTCCGACTAAAAGGCATTTTGACACTATGGTAGGGAAGGAAGATTACTCACTGAAATGCAAGAAGAGAATAAAGATTGATGTTTTGAACTCATAGAACGTGAAGGGTCTCTCAGTAGTGGGTCACGGGCAAATCCATCCCCGCGAAGAGCCATGAATACCTTATGCTGGAACTGCCGGGGGTTTGGAAACCCTCAGGCAATTCGAGTGCTACGTAAGTGGTGCTCATCTCTTGCCCCTGATTTTGTATTTCTTTTCGAAACTAAAATAGATAATGTTTCGACAGAAAGTAAAAAAGGTCTAGATTTGGCTATGATTGTGCTTTTGGTGTTAGTAGTAAAGGTCTTTCTGGTGGTTTATGTATTTTTTTGGAATAGTAGTAATGTTACTTTTTCTCTTGTTTATTTTTCGAATAATCATTTTTTTGGGAATGTTACCACTGTCGAGGGTCTTAAATGGCATTTCATTGTTATTTTTGGCTCGCCAGAATCTGCTAATAAATACAAAACTAATGGTTTGCTCCACTCCTTGTGTTTAGGAACTAGGAAGTGAGGAACTTTGGAGTGCGTGAAGAGAGTTAATCTATTTTTTTTTGAAATAAAATTATAATATCTTACACAACGACTTCGTTGCAACAATTAAACTTGTTGCGATAACTTATTTATTTTTTCACAACAAGAGTCTCGTGGCCAAAAATAACTCCTTTTTTCGCCAAATCCTGCCACACGAAATTTTTGGAGAGGAGATGAATTTTTATTTTTTTCTGCAACAATCTTTAATCACGGACTTAAATTTTACGTAGCGGAAGTTGCTTTTTAGCTACAAATATTTTACTTGTTGCAAAACTTGTTGCCAATAAACTATTTTCTTGTAGTGTTAATCGCATGGCATGTGACATAATAGCCATCCCATTGTCGACCGTTGCATCGGAATCTACTTTTAGTACGGGAGGTCGTACTTTAGATTCATTTCGGAGTTCTTTAACTCCTAAGGTAATGCATCTTTATCTTTTTATTTTATGAAATCAAGTTTGTTTATATCTAAATATGATTTTGTTTATACATATTTATGTAATACATTTGCATTGAAGATGGTTCAAGTGCTACTTTGCACACAAGATTGGCTTAGAGTTAAGGGAGTGCTAATCGTTGATGTGGAAGAAAATTTGAAAGAGTTAGAGGAAATAGAGAAAGGTAGTATTAATTTTATGTACTTGAAATTTTGTTACACCAAATTTATTATTTCATTGTTATCATTCATTAATATATTCTAATATATTCTATATTGTTTTTTATTTAGAGGTACAAGGTGATGAATCTAACGATGTAGACGATGAAGTTGTTTTCGTGGACTCATTATGTGAATCACGCAATCAAAGGGAAAACAACTCGTCAAAATTCAAGTTGTCTTTGGAGAATTTATGTATTTCTAGTATTTGAGACTTAGAGACTTTATGTAATTTTATGGATTATTTGTTAATTTTACAAAGTTTGTATTTTTGGTGTTTGGGAATTGGGACTTTATAGAATTTATGTAGTTTTGTGATTGATAATTTGAGATTTTATGTAATTATTAAATTATGCAACAAGTCCCAACAGGTCCGGTCCGGTTTTGGACCGATGTACAGCCCTACCGGCGGCTGGGGGTTGGGCTGTCGGTAGTGGGGGGTCACGGTTGCCGATGGTGGGGCTGGGCTGGGTTAGGGTTTTGGTTTTTTTTTTTTTTTTTTTTTTTTTTTTTTTTTTTTTTTTTTTAACAAATAGGTTATTGACACGTGTATATTGTGAGCCCCTCTAACGGTTTTCATCCAAAAATATGTTAAGTGGTGGTTAAATCCATTTTTTGGGTTTTTTTTTTTTTTGGTGTTATATATTTCAAATTTTTTTGTGGTGTTATTTTGCAAAATTTCCTATTTCCTATTTCATATATACATATATATACAGTACAACTAATAGAGTTTACTTGGAGAATGATAAATCCTAAACCTAGATTGTTTTGGAATAATACAAGGGCGGTATAATGGACATCCGCACAAATATATTTCGTAACAATTTTACAATCATCTCTATCATAGCATTCGTACTCTGTATTTTGATCAACATTTGACAACAATGATTTTTTGAATATTTTGTATTTTTTATTGATAAAATAATTAATTATAATGATAATTTAATAACGGTTATTAAAAGTAACCGTGCGTAGCACGTAGCACGAGAATTAACCTAGTAGTAATAATATCACAATGACAGAACGGTAAAATATCATTATGATATTTTCTATTGTGATATTACATTTATAAAATATTTTAGTCAAATATATTGAAATTGTAGACTTAATAGTTGATACTACCTCCGTTAAATATTAGTTGCAACTTTGGGGTATTATTTGTGAGATATAAAATATTCCAAAGTTGCAATTAATATTTAACGGAGGTAGTATAAAGAATGTTGAAAGGGAAAAAAATAGCACCATAATGTGACACGTGATATTTTTGGTATTTGTTTTAACATTATGTTACTGATTTACTTTCTTCATGCGTTATGAACACTTCGATATAGTTTTTATCCTAATAGTTGTATATTTAAATGATTCTATTCCAAAAATTAAAGAATGACAAGATTGACAACTAATTCTAACCTATTCTTAATTTGTTTACCCTGAACAAGATTCAACTTGTTCCTATTTTACTTAACCAAAACCAGTCTTGACATTTGACACTATTCATATTTTTCTATGTGGGTCTAGATTCAGATCCAGCAGTTGCTGGTTCCGGGTCAAGAAACCGGGTAGTGGTACCCATTTTTATTTTTATTTTTTTTAATTGAGCCCCATAATCCGATAGAGAATCAACAACGTGTCAGTATGTGGAGCGCTGAAGAGTGTGTTATGCTAATACCGTTGGAAAACACCAGAAACACGAATTCTGTGATTCTGTTTGAAGATGAGAATGAGAATGCTCCAATTTCAGCAATTACAATGCCAACAACACTTCAATGGCGTCTTTCTTTCTCACTCTTCTTTACTCCATTCCTCCATTCCACGGATTTCGAGACCTTCTACTGTTAAGTGCTCGCAATCATCTCCTACCAGAACTCAAGTAACCCAACTATTTCCTTTTTTTTTTTTTTTTTTTTTTTTTTTTTTTTTTTTTTTTAAATTTGTGAAGTAATTTGGATTGAATTTCATGATTTGACTCGAGGAAGAGGATAGACACGATACAACTATTTTATTAAAATTTGTTTGTTAAGTTGTACTCCGTATTGTATTTTTAACCATGTCGGGGTTAAACAATGTGTCGGGGCTACAATGCTACATCTACATGTAGAGCATTGTATCATAGCTTCTTATCATGTTCGGGTTGTGCTTAGACATCAGTACTAAGCTATACCGTAGCTTTGATGTTAAGTGTTTAATATGAGTGTATAAAGTCGGGTTACATGTTACATGTTACATTCAGACATCTGTACTAAGTTATTATACCTTGGTTTGATGTCAAGTTCTTCATATGATTGTAAATTCTGGTTACAATGTTACACGTCGGGTTTTGTTTTGTTTATTTGTATCATGCCTAAATGGTGCTTAGACTTCAGTATTAAGGTATGCTATGCTTAGATGTCAGTATAAGGCCGAAGATAAATTATTCTTGCTGATTAAAACTTGTTTTTGCTGATTCGCTATTATATTTGTTCTTTGAAACTGCCAAATAACTTGTTTTTGCTGAGCTTATATTACTTACTTTAACTAAATGGACTTATTTTTACTATACTAACTTATTTTATTGAATACAAGTATTAATTTTGTTTTGTAAACAGAACCGGATCTAAGGCAATATACTAGTCCTTATATTGTAGCTTAATTTTTGATGATATAGGTCTTAGTATCTTGTTGTAAGCTTGGATGTTTTATTGGATTTCAGAGGATAATGGAAAGCATATCGGTAGGAACAGAAGCTGGTGGTGCAGGAGGATCGTATTCTTATACCGCTTTGAAGAGGTTGGATCAATTATGGACAAACATTTGCTCTGCTGAAACAGGTGACAGTAGTGTACTTCAGATCATCATTTGTATAATAGAGATATGATGTTAATATGGTACATTATTGAAGAGATTGGATATGATTGTTTAACGCGTCAAGCTTGATGTTGCAGTAACTAAACCACCACAGGTAGTTACTAGTGTTACAGGCCCTTTTGTGCATGATGACACTTCTGGGAAGTCAGTAGAGAATTTTGATGTGATAGTTTGTGGAGGTACTTTGGGAATTTTCATTGCCACTGCATTGTGTGCCAAACGCCTTAAGGTCGGGATTGTGGAAAGAAATATACTGAAAGGGGTATAGCATGAAATCTTTGATTGAGCAAGTGTTTAGGAGTGAAAGTCTGCTTGCTCTTATTAACACTTCAGTTTTTGTGAATAGAGAGAACAAGAATGGAATATTTCAAGAAAAGAGCTTTTGGAACTTGTAGAAGTTGGCATTTTGAATGAAGATAACATTGAACAAGCTATATCTGCAGAATTTAATCCTGTGAGTTTCCTAGTTTCTTTATAAATTACTCAGTAATAATCAAGCTCTTGAAAGTTTTCTTATTTGGACTAATAATTTCAAAGATGTTGATTATCATGTATTGCGGTTACCTCTAGGGTGTAGGTCTATTTGTAAATATAGTCCAAAACATAATCAATTTTGTTCTGAACCATACTTCTTGCATGTCAAGGCTTGCTTCTGGCAGATTTAAATTCCTTCACGAGGCTCAAAATTGGCTAGCAAACTTTTTATATCATGATCTTGACATTGCTTTTATGTTTTTCTTCTCCTTGACTTGATCGATTCTGCAGAATAGATGTGGATTTGAAGAGAAGGGTGAGATTTGGGTCAAGGACATTCTTAATACTGGAATTTCGTAAGTTAGTCCTATCCAATTGCGTATATTATGTGATGCTTGTCAAATTGGTAATAATAAAAATCTCTTCGTGAAGCTAATAAAAGCAGAAGAGAAGATTGCTTTATGAACTTATGAGAACAGAAACTTGCTGTATTGGTCAAGAAACCTTGTTGTAAACTTAAGATAATGGTAGACAATGACATGATCCCTACTGATGTGTTTGGATACTTATGCTGGAGGGAAAGGGAGGGGAGCAAATAGAGGGAAGACTTGATAAAACCGAAAGAGGATGTGTATTTCCTCCAATTTATTTCGGACTTTGGTAGAAAATAGTCCTTTATAAAGGGAAGGAAAATGGATCCTCTCATTTCCCTCTTTTTCCCTTCCTCCAATTCATATCCTAATAGAGGAAAATGGATTCATAACACTCCCTCCATTTCTATTCTTTGAATCCTCTTTCCAAACACATTATACTTGAATAAGCATATTAAAGCTCCCCAAAATTTCTTTTGTCTGGTGAGGGTGCAGTATTTTTTTGGTCAACAAACATTACACATTCCGGTCTACATGATCTTGACTGACCAAAGGGGTTCTGTTGCAAATTTTTTCCAAAATACTTCTTATAAACAAAGCTTGAATTCTTACTCAGGGTCAACACCCAGAAAATTAGGGCCTTACTAATAACAGATAACACTAGCATTCATCAGCAAATCAAACTTTTCCCTTATCCCATTCATGATCAATTGCTAAAGTAGTAGAACTAATTGAGCTTTCAACACTAGCTAGTGTGAAAGTCTCCTCAGTTTCTATGTAACATACTATCCAAATAATACACTGTCTTTGCTGTATTCTAAATTTCTAATCTAATAACAGTTCAAGAGTTTGCCAGGGACACTAAAAAACTTTGCAATTTGAAGCAATTTTGATTGGTAAATTGATTAAGGCTAGGATATATTATTCAATTTTGTATGGCACACTGGTCCTTTATCCATGAAGACCAAGGACCATGCTACCGAAAAAGAAAAGGAAAGCCAATTCTTGGTATTTGGTGCAGAACCAAAGCAGGATTTATCCTTTTTTTTAATAAAAATTTTAATCTTATGGTTTAGTTATCAAATTTCCTATTTTCTATGTGTACACAGTGCAGACAGTTTTCTCTAGTTTGAATATCTCTTACATTTTGTTATTCCTAGACAAAAAAAAAAAAAAAAAAAGCTGGAAGAATATGAGAAAAGTCCTTAACTGATGCAACTCATCTGACCAATCTTGTCCTCTATTTCTCTGCCCGCCTCCTTAAAAAAATGCAGGCCAGCTAAGTTGATTGAGATAATGAAGGAACGCTTCAGGTCTCTTGGTGGTATTATCTTGGAGGGTTATAGTGTATCTAGCATATGTGTATATGATGATTCAGCAGTAAGCTCAAGATCTCAGCTTAATCTGACTTTTGGTAGTCACCTTCACTTACTGAGCAACTTTATACCATTATATCTTCTAAAAGGATTGTAATCAGAGTGAAGTGGACATTTACTATACATGATTTATGCCGCTATAAATCATTCACTGTTGTTGTTCCTGGCGTTGTAGGTTTTGCAAGTATCTGAAGAGAAGATTTTATCATCACGCCTAATCATTGATGCTATGGGAAATTTTTCTCCTATCACAAGACAGGTTAGTATTTTAGTTTCATTATAATTCACATTTCTAGCACATGAATGCTTTTATGTATCCTTACTCCTTAGTATCCTCGTGATTATTTCTTCTAGGCTCTCCCTAACTGATCATTATATTTTTTAACTTTGCAAAATTTGACTAATAAGAAAGATCAGGTTATCAGATGCTTCTTTTTTAGAATAATTCTTTCAGGCTCTCCCTAATTGATGATGTGGCTTACTATTGAGTTACAGATACGAAATGGAAGGAAGCCAGATGGTGTTTGCGTTGTTGTTGGTTCCTGTGCAAGTGGCTTTACAAATAACACCACAAGTGATGTCATCTATAGCAGTGCAACAGTGCAGAAAATTGGTCAATCAGAAGTGCAACTGTTTTGGGAGGTGATCTCCCTTAAAAGAAATAAGCATTTTAACCAGCTGGTTTTATTTTTCCTGCAAATTTCCATCGCCTAAACTATCGTGGTACATTCTGCAGGCGTTTCCAGCTGGTTCCGGTCCCATGGATCGTACAACTTACATGTTTACCTATATGGATCCTCAGCCAGGATGCCCTACCCTGGAAGATCTCTTAGAAAGTTACTGGAAATTGATGCCAAACTATCAGGTGAAATGGATAATCTTGTATCTTTATTGAGGGATTAAATATCCTATTTCACTTCTTGCGTTTGGCCTTCTGAATTAGAGAAAAGTTGACCTTTTCTTTGTTACTTTCTACTCATTGAACTTGGTAAACTTAAATCTGCTGTTGGTGCCTTTCAGTTTTCTAGTTAGAATTCATGTCATTTTACACGTCTTTGTTTTTGACAATTTAAGATGGAAACTTAATTAAGTTTATAACTCTTCCCGGGTCTTGGTATAAAATGCTGAATATTTCCGGTGTTTCTCTGGCATAAAGTGAAAATATCGACTCTCAAAAGTCAAAACAATATCAATGTTTCTGTGATGCAATATGACTTTTACTGCTTTTCTGGCTCTTCATTGAATATGTCTTGGAATATATTTATCCTGAATTTGGTTTCTGTTGTTTACAAAATGTATGAACATTCTGTGGTTCTGCTTGCGTAAATTATGAGGTCATGCTTCTTCCCTGATTACAATGACTTTTCTATATTTGTTGTTGTTTGATAGGGAGTTTCTCTGGATGACCTCGATTTTATGAGAGTTGTATATGGCATATTCCCTACTTATCGTGACAGGTAATTTATAACTTATAAGTGCTAATAACTTGTTTCATGATCTGTATATTCTCTTAAAGTATATATTTCATTGCATAAGTATCTCTTTATGAATATAATCAATTCCTGAACAAAGCATAATAGTTCCAATCTCATGGAAATAAACATGAATAACACACTTATATTTCTTGCAAACCTCTTATCGATGAGTATTTTACTAATTGTATGCTCTTCTTTCGTCATTCTCCTCTGATTTTTTCACTGCGATATTGCAGTCCACTACCAGCTGCATTTAATCGTATTCTACAGGTGTTTCACATTGTAACTCAAAACCCTTCCATGGATTATATGGTTTCAAGCATTACTAAACTATATTCTGCAGTTTGGTGATGCTAGCGGTATTCAATCCCCTGTTTCATTTGGTGGTTTTGGAAGCTTGACCAGGCACCTTGAGAGATTATCGTCTGGTATACTTTCCAGTCTTCCACAAGAAATTACTGCGTAACCTATAAAGCATGAAAATTATAATTGTTTTTTTTTTTTTCTCAGAATGATACTGGATTTTATTTTAAACTTCATGTAAAACTAGATTAGCTAATTCATCTAATAAGCCCTTATCCTGTGCCATCAGGAATATACGAAGCAATTGAGGGCGATTTTCTTGACTCGGACAGCTTGTCACTGCTGAATCCATATTTGGTAAGTGGTACTTGACACTCTAATAGACTTTTATCTCAGCATATATTAAGTCAAATATGTATTTGCAGCCCAATCTAAGTGCTTCTTGGCTATTTCAAAGAGCAATGTCAGCAAAACAACAGCCTGATGTATCGCCTTCTTTCATCAATGATCTACTTCATGCTAATTTTCAGAGTATGGAGGTAAAGCTTACATGTTTCTTGAAATGATCCAGATATTTTTTTTTTTTGTTCTACAACAATTTTAAATTAGAACATTTATCTCTTCTGCTATCGTGACATTGTACAAAATCTACAGAAGCTTGGTGATCCTGTTTTGAGACCATTTCTTCAGGTCATTGTCTCTTTCATTTTCGCTGCTCTTCTGATATCTGTGTGCACGTATTAATATACTTAGCTTCTAGACATAAAACTTTTAGGTCATCCTGATTATTCTAACATTAAGGTTAATGTTTTTGGACAGGATGTCATTCAATTTGGACCCCTGGTCAAAACATTGGGTTTGGTCATGCTTACTAAACCTCTCATCATTCCTTCCATATTCAAGCAGGTAAGTTATGAGTAACTCCTTTCTCACATATTATTAAACTTAACTTCTAAACTTTGTACCAAACATAGAGATATAATGTGGAAGAAGTATAGAATGTTGATACTGGCACCTAGCTCTACTGCCTGTGAAATCCTAATAGTAGCATTGTACTGTATTCTATATGACCCGTTCACACTAGCTCTTTGCCAACATCCTCGGACTTAATTTCTTTCTTTTTTTTTTTTTTTTTTTTTTTTTTTTTTTTTCTTTTTTTTTATCAGGGAAAAGATTATACTTTACTTTTAAAAATACAATAATAAGACCCTCCAAAACAGATGTTAAAATCGAATAAAACAATTACTGAGTATTTCCGTGCTTAATTATGGCATGTGCAGGAAGTTGTCCACTTAGGACCTGTTATGTTCAGCTTAATTTCAGTTCAGTTCAGTTCAGTTCTTTTGCTAATTCAGTTCAGTTTAGTTCCAATCAGTTCAGTTCAGTTTAGTTCCAATCAATTCAGTTCAGTAAATCGGAACAGTCCCTTAGTTTGAACCATATATATATTGCACTGTAGTTTGGATATGTGACACAGACATTTAAAGGGCTTGCTTGCTTTGCTATGACAAAAACAGTTGCACAAACATGCTTAAGGAATAATGGTACTCAGAATTAATCATTTGTCAGTTTCACATTCAAACTCATTCGATTATTTGATGTTTTCAGGTTGGTTTTCCTGTGCTGATTGATTGGTCCGGCCATTTCTTTATGCTTGGTTATTACACATTCCTCTCAAGCTTTGTAGATCCTTTAATTAGGTAAGTATTATGAGCTGTTACTAATCGAGTTTATATTTCATAATGACCTGATGGTTGCATGGATGAGGCGTACACATTAACTGTATTTCATCTACTTCTTTTGTGGTTTGATTGTTCAATCTTGATCGCTTAGCTTTTCGTAGGTCTTCAATTAACAAATTCCCCTCCAAGATGAAGTTTCAATGGAAGCGATATCTTGATGCTTGGAAGTACGGAGCTGGTTTAGACTATAGATTGTGAAGTACTCCCTCCGATTTTTTTTTTTTTTTTTTTTTTTTTTTTTTAATGCATCACTTCTATATTTAGTAACTTTATACTATTTTTATCATTTTTCTCTTTTACTTTAAACCTCACTCAAATTATTTTATCATTTCTCTCTCTTCTATGGTCCCCACTTAAATAATAAAAATATATATCTTCTCTCACATATTTTCTCTTTTCTGGTCCCCATCTTACTTTTACTATAATAATTTATTTATCAACTCACAATATTATATTACTCTCCTAAAACTTTGTGCATTTCCAATTAATACAAATAAAAAAAAAAATAAAAAAAAAGAGGGAGTAATACATTGTTGAAATACCAGAAACGTAAGACAACTTATTCAATACTTCTTCATATATTGTATGATTTGATAAGTACATAATGTGATACTCTTAAACTTCTATGTAATTTCCAGCAGAAAATTAAATGATCAAGTGGTTTTACCTTTTATCTTAAAAAAGATAGAAATATACTGATTATTTTCCCGGTGGACTGATGGTGTTTTGATATCAAAATAATTGTTAATGATGGTCTTCTATAAATTTAGAGCATGTTTGGTAAGAGTATTTATTGGGTTGGAAACGGATTCAACTAAACCATTACCATTATCTAGTGTTTGATTAGAAGGTTTAGATTACAATTACCATAATCTAAGACTAATGGTTTCAACCTAATTTTATGTTTACTTGTTTGCGTGTATGTATCACTGACTAATTACATCGATTTAAAAAGAAAACCTAAAATTGCTAGTCTTATTAAAATCAAAATAGGACGAATCTGATCGTTAACTTCCCTCCCCCCCAAATAGATCTGATTGCTTAACAAGTCTACCACGTTTCCCCTACCATAGTGTAATGCAGTTTCATACGGAGTATAATATTTTTATTTTTATTTTTTGACAACGTCTTATGGAGTATAATACTGTAGTATTCTTCCCTCCGTTTTTTTTTTCCTTAAAAGCTACACTTGTTATTTTTGTCCGTTTTTTTAAAGCTACACTTTCTCTTTTAAAAACCCATTACAATTTAATAATGTATCTTTACCTACTAGTGATCCATATTGTCTTACTTTATCATTTTTCACTCCTTCAATGGTCCACACTCCTTTCTCACCACTTTACTTTTCAATAAAATAATAACTTTACCATCTTTTCTTAGGATTTTTTTATTACCTGATCTACCCAACTAACATCTAATTTTATTAAACTCCGCACAATCCTAACTATAGCTTTAAAAAAATAACGAAGGTTGTACGCATAATTTCCTTAATTTTAAAATGTGTGACAAATGTTACCTGTTACATTTATTGGAGACATCAGCATTATAGCTTTTATTAATCACACTTTCTTTATTGTATAATTGGTTAATTATTTACTACCTCCGTAAATTGTTATTTGCAACTTTGGAATATTTTATCTCTCACAAATAATACCCCAAAGTTGCAGATAACAATTAACGGAGGTAGTATATGGAATATAATTGCTTAAATATACTTCGTACTCCGTAGTTTTTATTCAATTTTTATACAAAGTATTTAAAATTTTTTGGGTTTTTAACATGTCTTTTCATGAACTTTTCTCATGACGACTTCTATTTAAAGAAGATAATAGGTTGAAGGTTAGTTGCAGCTCATTGTTTGTTCAGTACCACATTCTCTTAGGCTCTGTTTGTTTCAAGGGAAAAGCCTTTCCTTGAAAATAGTTTTCCTATTTTCTATTGTTTGTTTTGGACTGTCCCACAAAATGGAAAATAACACTAGAAAATACTTTTCCATTGAGGCCCAAATATTTTCCCAAAAAAATCAAGGGATTCCTCTTTTCCATCGTTGCTCGCTGCTCTCATTCTCTCATCCTCAAGCTCGCTGCTCTCTCTCTCTCTCTCATCCTCAAGCTCGCTGCTTCAAGATCTGCTATCACAAGGTAATTTCCAATTATTTTGTTTCCTTTCTTTGATTGTTTGCTTCTTTATTGGATTCAACTGGTTTATTTGATTCAACTGCTCTCGAAATTCTAGGTTAGGTTTGTGATTAATTAGGGTTTGTTAATATTCTTCTGTATTAAAGAACAAGTGAAGTAATAATGAAGAATTCTGGAATTTGGTTGATTTTTTGCTATTGATTTGGGAATTAGGGTTTGCACGTAAAATCAATTGCTATTGTGGTTTCATTGGTACTGAAAAAGTGAAAATTATTTCTGCTATTGTGGTTCGATTGATGGGTAATCTTGGTTTATGGTTCTGAAAATTGTTTCTGCTATTGTGGTTCGATTGATGGGTAATTGTGGTTTACTGGTACTGAAAATTGTTTAGATTGTTGGGGTCATATGGAGCTTCAGTAAGGCTAGTGTAATAATAGATACAAGCTCCGGTTGGAAAATGCAGCCGAACAGAACTCTGTTATCTGGTGACATTTTCCACCTTTGTCCATCAATTGTTGTTATCTTATGTATGAAGTTGCTGTTTGTATGTGCAATGATGTGCTGCTGTATGAAGTTGGTGAAAATTCATGTACTGCTTTGCTAATTGAGCCATTGAGGCATTGGTATATATTCGTAGAATTTAGCAATTGTTGTTTTGTTAATTGTTGTTGTTCATTGAGGCATTACTGGTACTGAAAATTGTTTTGTTAATTGGGCTTTGGTATCAATTTCTGTTATTAATTGATTTCAGCTCGCTGTTTGTGTGTGCTCTTTGCTCTCTCATGTCTGCTACTACTCCTACTCCCCTTTCTTATGCCGACTGTGTCACAACCCTTCCTATTAGCTCTCCCCACTTAGGGCCCAAACAGAGTGTTTTGGGAACTCACTGTCCCTTTGGTTTAACCTTCCCCACCTGTAATCATCACCTCCTCTGCCCACACACTATCCCTGTCTCTAATAAGGATACATGTTCTAAAATAATTAACCTTTGTCTTATGGGGATACTTTGTCCTTCTTGATTGGTCTGAGTCTTTCTGTCCTATCAACACTACTATCTCCTCCATTGGCCAGTGGGGTCAAGGTCTATTTGTTGTCCCACCAATACTGATCAATTGTTGTTTTGTTGTTTTGTTAATTGTTGTTGTATGTTATAGCCGTTGAGTTAGATTGATCACTTTGATAATACCATCAATCACCATAATTTTCTTTTTTCAGGTTAGTATTAGTTATGAAACTGGAGCGTGGATTGTCTACCCAAAAATCATCTAAGGTATAACTTTGCCCAAAAACCACTATCGAATTAATATACATATAAGTATGCTTAACCTTTTGTTTTTTTGATGGAATTGATGTAGATGACTAATGATACTAAAGGCATTGTTATTGGCGCTATGGCTGCTGTTATTCCCTACGCGCTTGCTTTTCTTAACGAGCATAGGTCTAAAACAAGAAGGCTAAGAATAATTAGGCGACCCTATATTAATAGAGATAGTCTGAGGTCGGAGATTGTTAATAGTGTTTTGTATTGTGGTGATACTCATTGTTTGGGTCAGATTCGTATAAGGCCTCAAGCATTTTTCAATTTGCGTAATATTCTAGTTGAAAGAGGACTTTTGAAAGAAAATATTCGAATAGGTGTTAAAGAACAAGTAATGATATTTTTATACATTTTAGGGCATAATGTAAGATTTAGGGTAGCGGGGGAAGATTTTTCCGATCAATTTGGACCATACATCATTACTTTCATGTTGTTCTTAAAGCCATCCTTAAATTGTACCCTGAATTTGTCAAACCACAAGCCTCTCCTCTTCCATCTGAAATTCAAAACAACCCTAGGTTTTTTCCTTGGTTTGAGGATTTCATATATAGGAGCTATAGATGGGACACATATACGTGCATCTGTCCCAATTGAAATGCAAGGTCGATTTTGTGGTAGAAAAGGTGGGACAACCCAAAGTATGCTAGGTGCTGTTGATTTTGATATGAAATTTACATATGTGCTGGCTGGTTGGGAAGGTTCTGCTCATGACTCAAAGGTCTTGCAAGATGCGCTCAAAAGGGGATTTAAGGTTCCTAAAGGTACTTTAAGATTATTTTTTTGTATGGTTTCTTTTATGCATTGGTTATAAGTTAGTAACTATGAAAAATCTCTTTAAATTGTAGGAAAGTATTACCTTGCTGATGCGAGGTATGGTGACCGTAAAGGATTCATGCCTCCATATAGGCGTACTCGCTACCACTTGAAAGAGTATACCAACAATCCACCCGAGAATGAACGTGAATTATTTAATCTTCGACACTCCTCGCTAAGAATGGTTGTGGAGTGGGCATTTGGAGTATTAAAGAAGCGATTTCGTGTCTTGGATGCTGAGCCATTTTGGCCGTATGAAACCCAAGTAGATGTACTTCTAGCATGTTGTGTGTTACATAACTACCTTAGAGGTGTTGACCCAAATGACCCAATTACAAGAGAAGTTGAAGTAGAGATGACATCACAAGATTTACAACACATGGGCGAAGCACGTACTCGAGGGAAACAGTGACAAGAAAACCAACAAATTTAAAGGAAGAGAAATGCCATTGCAACGGCGATGTGGACTGTATACAAGAAGGCTCGAATTTGATGGGCTTCATCTTTAGATAATTAGTTCACTAATTATATATTTTATATTCTATAACACATTTTTCTTATGTTGTCTTTTCATTCTTTCCTTTGTAGGATCAATCATATGCCATGTTTGTTACAGATTCTTCATATTTAAAGTTTATATGTTGTTATGGTGGAAATGTGGAAATTGTTTGATACCTAATATTATATCTGGAGTTTACTTTTTCAACAGGGTAGATTTTCCAGATTATTATGTTGTTGAGAGCGTTTTATAGCATGCGTGATTACTATGTTGTTTCTTTTTCCAGATTCCAATGCTAAAGTGATTTTTCCATGTTATAAAAGAAGAGAAAAAGGCCAACTTTCGCTGGTCAAAGGACATGTCATAGGAATTACTCAACTTTTTAGCCGAAGAAGTTAAAAAGGGAAACCGGCCTAATAATACTTTTCGAACAAGTTCTTTGGTGGCTGCTGCAAAGATTATCTCTGAGAAGTTTCAAACCAATTGCACCTCAGAACATGTGGAGAATCATATGAAAACTGTGAGGAATGCATGGGTGGCTATATCAACAGTCTGAAACAACTCCGGGTTTGGATGGAACGATAACTTGAAGGTGGTGACAGCATCTCCCACAGCATATGCTACTTATGTTAAGGTAGTGTTGTTTTAACACCTTTTCTAAACATGTTGATTTGTTTAGTAGATATTAATGGGATAATGTTTGTGATGGTGGTGCGCTGCTTCTTGCTTGTGTGTGTGTGTTGTGGTGAGTGCAGTGTGGTGTTCTGGTGAGTGCAGTGTAGGTGTTCTGGTGCACCTGGAACAATAAAGCTACATGTCTTTGATAGTCTCCAATATTGTGATACTATACAATAAATCAGTAAGTATGATAAGTTATTAAGAATGCAGATGCAGATTAATGAAATTTATTTTGTTGGCTCAATTTAATCTGCAACTGCAGATTTAAAGTTTGTACATGTCAGAAATAATGGTGTGGTATTAATATAGTACTTGTATATGTTAAGGCTAAGTTTTATTATATACTCCATATATAGCTGTATTTGTGCAATAATGTCGACTTATCAGTCCAAAGATAAAGGGGGCTAGCTAGAAATAACGATGAATAATTTCATAAATCATTTGCACCAATGACCTATAACAAGAGATCACATTTACTGAACCACCAGCATATATTGATTATAGCCTTCAGTTTGCGTGCATATGACACACTAACATGAGTACTGCTAGCCAGTAGCTTACGCTTTGCTAGTGTGGATTAGATGACCCTAATAACGTTTTATTTTTGCAGGAATATCCAAAATATGAAAAGTTTTTGAATCGAAAAATTGATATGTATGAGGAGATGGCTATAGTAGTGGGTAAAGATTTAGCACGGGGGAACTTCTCCAAGACATTTTCCGACATCGATGTTGATGCTTCAATGGAAAGTGGACAACCAAGTATGACTATTGATAGTGTGCCTTCCAAGGCTGAGAGTAAGGCTGAGAGTGGTACCTCGTCGGGCTTAAGGCCACATCGAAAGAGGTCTCGAACTGACGAAGGATCGGAAATGGAACACATTTCAGCACAACTTCAAGAAGTGGTTAGTGCTCTTAAATTTTTTTCAAACAATCAAATTGATGTGGAGAAGCTTTATGACGAAATTATGAAGATGGAGGACATTGAAGAAGGGATGCGTGTTGCGGTTTTTGATCACTTGGTGGAGCGCAAAATGCTTGCTAAAGCATTTTTGACAAAAAGCTTGCCACTACGCAAACTTTGGATCGAAAAGTTTGTCAAAGACTATAAACATTAAAGTCTGCTTGCTGCTTCCACTCTAATTTCTTTTTAATTTTAAGCCTGTCAACTGCAGCTTCTGAGATAATGCTCAATGTTGAACCTTACTAGTGTACTTATCTATCTGGGTACCCCATCTATACTCTACATCAGCTCTGTGTCGAGTTACCTATGCAGTTATTTGAAATGTTTGTTGTTTAATGCCAAGCTGCATATATGATGGGTAGCTTTTTTTCCAGTGTACATACTTCCATAGTTGATCCTTTTGAGTACTTATTAATAACTTTTGATCACTTGATTCTTCTGTTCACATTTCTCAAATTAATTATGATACAGGGCATATAAGATTCAAAAGATAAGAAAATTTGTATTTATATATGAGTTACGTTATAAATACAAATTTTCTACTCTTTTGATCACTTGTATTTGGGTTGGTGCGTTTCAAGTTTTACATAGGCTTTTATCTGGAGTAGTGATTCGAACAAGCCCGAATCATATACTTTTAATTAATAAAAGTTTCAAGATTGTTATTTATTCATGTATCAAATTAATTAGGTTCAAATTTATAAAAAATTAGGTTCACAAACAATATTAAGTAACAAAAGGAAAATTATTTTAAAAGGAAAATAAATTTCCAAACAAACAAAGGAAAATAGGATTCTTGGAAAATGAATTTCCTTACAAACAAAGGAAAACTAAACCAAATTTGAGTTTTCCTCCAGAAAATGGATTTCATGGAAATTCATTTTCCTTTAGATTTGTTTTCCGTCAAAACAAACGCAGCCTTAGTCATCTGCACATATAATCAAGCTACTTTCATTTCGCAGTTTATTATTGGTAAGTCATCTTTTGTTGATGCATGAAGCCACTTTATTATGTACAATAACTATTTTTTTTTTTTTGTAGTACTTAGGCCCCGTTCACTTCACCTTAATTTTGCTGAACTGAAATTATTTTTACTGAACTGAAATTATTTTTACTGATTAAAACTGAATTTTACTGATTAAAACTGAATTTTACTGAACTTATTTTTACTGAAATTATTTTTACTGAACTGAACTTATTTTTACTGAACTGAAATTATTTTTACTGAACTGAACTTATTTTACTGAACTGAAGTTATTTTTACTAAACTGAAATTATTTTTACTGAACTGAACTTATTTTACTGAACTGAAGTTATTTTTACTAAACTGAAATTATTTTTACTGAAATGAACTTATTTTTACTGATTTAGATATTATTTTTACTGATTTAATATATATATATAGATATATTAGGTAAAATAATCTATTTTTGTAATTTATATAGTTGGTATATATAACAATAATATATTATGCCAACCATTTAAATTTACATAATATCGTATATAAAAATGGTCGGCCTATATATTATGGGAATATGTATTTGATATACTTGTATATGATATTAGGTTTAGGGATACTGCCTTTAATTTCATTGCCTAACTTTACAACCAAACATACCAAAACAATAAAACTAATAATAATAAGAATAAAATCATAACTTTATTATAATCATAAATTATTACAAGGATTGCTTCTTATTGCATATGACTATTTAAGTTTATTATTCAACGTCCATATGATGATCTTCTTCCTCGATGTCCCTAACTGATTGCCAAATATGTTCAGCTATCTGATTTTGTACTATATCCATCTGAGCTTTCCTACCTTCATCAAATATGGAGTATTCCGCTCTAGGCTCAACATTTGCACATCTTTCTGAAGTTGGTATCCCTAAAGTGTACAATCGGATAAAATTATGAAGAGTAAACGTTGATAAGATGATTGATAATTGATATGTTTGAGACATTTGTGGCATGTTTTTCAAAATTTTCCATTGCCCCTTAATGTTGCCAAAACACCTTTCAATTGTAGTGCGCAATGAAGAATGATGATAATTGTAATGTTCTAGCATTCCTCGAGGTGGAGGACCATTGTGAAATTCCGGCATATGATACCTTGTCTGCTTGTCTTTAATTGGACTCAAATAACCGAGTGTGTTAGGATAACCAGAATCCACTAAATAATATTTTCCTGATAAGAAAATAAAATTTTTATTAGAATAAATTATCCTGCTAAAAGAAAATAATATTAAAGAATTACCTACCTAGAGGAGGGTGTGGAAATTCGAATTTAAGATCAGTTAAGCAATTTCTCCACACCGTTATATCATGAGCACTTCCTTGATATCCAACATTAACAAATGTGAATAACCCATTAAAAGAGCATGAGGCTAGTACATTCCAAGTTTTAGTTCCTTTACGTCCTCGAAACGGTTGACCATCACCATCGGACACAACTGCACTAATATGAGTTCCATCTAAAGCACCAACACAATCCTAACACATGAAAAAATTAATTTTTTTTATTATTAAATTATGCTTTTATAAATGCATTTATATGAAAATTAAATAACATACTAACCTTAAAAAAAGGCCAATATAATGAGTTTTCTTGTACTTCTTGTGGTGTATCGGCCAAATCTTGATAAGGACGAATTAAATCACATGACAATCTTGTCAATGCTTGCAACACCCTTCTGAAATAGTTGCTAATTGTGGATATTGAGTGCTTAAATGTGTCAGCAGCTTGGCGTTGAGATGCCCCTTTTGCCAATATAAATAGACCAATTCCTACTTGTTCAGCCACTTTTACAAACCTTCCGTCCGATAATAAATTTTTTTCTATCATCAATTGGACTAGTCGCACAAACATATCCCTATCCAATCTTAGTTGCTCTTTAAACAAACCAGGATGAACTGTTAACCACCTTGTTATATATGCTGATCCACTTTCACCCCCGATCCTTAAAGGTAAGCGATGAATTGGGGTAAGGAGTCTCGACAATTCATATAGTACCAAAAACAGTATGCATTTCTGAAGCAACTCATTGTCCATTCTACAATATAAAAGCAACAACAAGAAGTGAGATCTCAAATTTAAACAAAAAATATAAAAAAAAAAAATATATAAAAAATATTAACGTATAACCTTCAATATGTAGATGGTTACAAAAAGTATTGTATATTTTTATGATTGTCCAATTCGTCCCACCCAAGTAGTATATATATATATATATATATATATATATATATATATATATATATATATATATATATATATATATATATATATATATATATATATATATATATATATATATATATATATATATATATATATATATATATATATAAGCAATTAAAACTACATGCAATACAAGGGTATTATTTGTTTTACCATATATACAAGGACAAAGAACGCAAAGGAAAGAGATTGATTTGCCCATATCTTTTTCAATATCTCGTATATATCATATATATTTACCAAAAAAAAAAATTGCATATAATAACTTGTCAAAAAAAAAAAAAAAGTTGCGTATATAACGTTTTCCTCATATTTCTTTTTTAACAAATAAAGTTTTCCTCAAATACATATATGGTAAAACTAACAAAGTATTTACCAAAAATATAGTATTTACCAAAAATAACGAACTACAATTTTTATCAATAAGATATTATTAAATATATGTAAAAAATTTTTTTGAGAAAAGTTAAATATATGTTGTATTTAGGAATGTTAATATTTTGTTCCATTGATTAGTGATCATTGATCAGACATGTACAGCTGGCCCATCCCTTGCGAATAGGATACTTAAATGATTGTTATTTTTATTGTAAAATTAAACCCTTAAGGCTTGTTTTGTATAAGGTCATCTCAGGTATAATGACATTTGTGTGCAATTTTGCATGGATTTTCATATGTCAACGTACAAGGAAATGCATCCCCACCAGCATACAATTCAGCTCTAATCATTGATAATCATAACCACTTATAAGTTATTACAACCTTTAGGTGCATGCATTATCTCATCAATTCATTACAAAGGGATGTTTCATGAAAATTTAATTACAAAGTCAGTATCATCTCATCAATTGATGACTCTGTACAAACTAGCCGAATGCTGATACTACTTTAATGAGGAATTCAATCTGTAATAAACCGTGAATCTTCAAAAACGTGTAATTTCATTCTGTTGTTACCTATTCCTTTTATAATCAAAGGAGCTTGTACATAAACCGCAGCATGCATGATTTACACCATACAAAATCTATAATAGTAAAAAAAAAAAAAAAAAATAATAATAATAATAAACATACAACGTCAAAAGAAATAAAATGAAATTATTTTATTCATATTATAACGAAGGACCAAAGTTTTTATTAAAATAAACACTCATTTATTTCATCATAATAATCTCCACCACATTAGTTTTTACTACTTATGACAAGTCCAAGTCATTTATTTCATCATCTAATTGGGGAGTATAATAGTCTCCGGGAAAAGCTATACCCATTGACTTCAACCAAAGCAATTTATGATGATTAGTATTAAGTGCCATGAAAAATTCCCCATTGTGATCTTTAGTTAAGTACTCCAAAACATGGATATAAAAAGAATCACTGTAATCTTTCATTTGAGGAATCTCTTTAAGAGTTGCAGCAAGAAGATTGAACTTTTCTTGTACTGGATTACTTTGTACCTTTGATGACTCAGCCTGAATAGTTGACTTCACAAGCTCTATACACTTATCAATGTCACTCATCCTCTTTTTATTAATTTTACTAGTTTCCCCCAAACTCTTACGCTTTCCTAGAGGAGGTGATATTCTAGAAGAATCATTCTCATGATCTACATTGTTATCCTCGGGGGTTAAATTTAAAGGATCATCTTGCTCATCATCATTGTCTCCTGTGGGTTCTTGATCTTCATAATCGGAAAATAGTGATGCATTTTTTTGTAATTGATGGGGAGATAGCCAATTTATTGGTTGCAAAAGTGCCCTTAAAATAAGCATGCAGCAGATCTTCATTAGCTAATGGCCTCTTCAAGAATTGTATGGGTCTTCCTTTATGTTTCTGTATAACAAAATAATTACGGTAACTAAAATTACTGCCATACATCATTAACATAATTTGAATAATAGATGACAGAAAACAAAGTTTAATACCTTAACAAATGCAGCCCACCTATCATCTTGTTTGATGAGAGGGCAGCCAGTAACTGCATCAAAAGCAAGACCCGTCCAACCAGCACCCGTCTTCAATTCATACCAAGCTATATATTTTCCTTTCAAATCTGCAAAATGATTTTGCAGAGATTTCTCAGAAAAAATTTGTCCAGTTTGCGCATTCAAATTACGCACAATTTTTTCCCAATCTAACTTTGAGTTTCCATCTAATTTGTGTTGGAGAAGAATCTCCAAAAAATTTTTAGTAGTGTCATTGGTGAATTTGGTTCTCGAACCCATGAAGATTTGAAAGCTACAAGCTCGACTTGGATGAACTAGAGCTATGAAAAAGAGATTTTTATAGGCACTATAGAGTACTATAAAGATACTTTGACATATAATTTATGATCTTTATTTTTCCAAAAAAAAATTGTACAATATTGTGAAATCTTACACACAATATGTGTGCTAACCATATATATGTACTCAATTTAGGAATTTACTTTCAAAATAAAATAAATATCTTAAACAATCCTTTTTAAACAAAAATTTATATTTCTGTTTAATAGTTAATTACATTTTTATGCAAATAATTAATTACATTTGTTGAACATAAAATAAAACATTCTACAATTTATTAAATAAAAGTCAAACACACTGACACCATTATATATATATATATATATATATATATATATATATATATATATATATATATATATATATATATATATAGGAGACTATTAAAATATACAGTTGATCGTTAAAATAGTTTCTAAAGCTGCAAGTTGGATTTAACAATCTCAAACCAAAAGACTTTAGCACAATTTATGACATGCATGAAAAAAAATATTGTTAATTAAATTTTTGGTTTGAATTGTCAGTCAATTTTTTACTACGTATATGTTGGTTAACTGCATGTAATTTACAAATAATTATAGCAAATATTGGTAGATTGATTGATCATATCAAGGCATGTGATATTTAAGCAAAAAAAATAAATATAACGACATATTGGTAGTATTGTATAGATCATGCATATATAATCATATATGAATATCATATTTCAATATCTTATTGAATTTATTGTAAATGATTAGGTATGCTATTACGATGAATTTTGTTACCCTTTTATAAAATATAGTACTTGTATTTACCAAATATCACTGACTACAATATTATCAATAAGACATAATATTTTATACTTGACAAAAAAAAAAAGATATTATATTTTATAACTATACAATATGTGATAAAAGTATAGACAAAAGTGATGCATAAAAAAATATATGTGAAGTATTAAAAAATCTTGTACGAAAATATTTTGCAATATATGGAAAAAATAATTTACATAAAAAAGCCTAGTAAAAAAAAGCATCAAAGTACATGAACTTAAATTAATTTTGCTAAAATTATTATTGCTGAGCTTAAATTATTTTTACTGAACTGAAATTATTTTTGCTGAACTGAAATTATTTTTACTGAACTTATTTTTACTGAACTTAAATTATTTTTACTGATTAAAACTGATTTTTACTAAACTGAAATTATTTTTACTTAATATAATTTTTTTAAGGTGAAGTGAACAGGGCCTTACTCCATTTCATATTACTTTTAGTATAACATGTTTTTAATTTGGATTTTTTGTCGAAAAGTATTTGATAAAACCTAAACTTTGTGAGAAATAACCTAATAAATAAAATATTGTAAGAAACTACCTAATAAAAAGTAAATGTTGTAAGGTACTATCTTTAACCAAATTTTCACCGTTGACCTAATTCTACGGGGTTGAACCACCTCAAACACCCTCTAAACCACTGTGGACCGAGGTTGGTTTTCAAGGTGATAAAGGTTATTTTTGGGGTGGTTGGAGGATATTACGAGTTGGTGGGGGCAGTTTCATGCATCGAGATGGTGGTTTTTGGGGTTAGTTGTGGTGGTTTGGGGATGTAGGGTGGTTTAGCGTGGTACAGTGGAAGAAAGTTCAAGCAAGTCGTGATGGATTTGGGGATAAAGCAGTGGTTTCGAACGTATTTTGAGATGGTTCAACGATGAAAATCTGACAAAGGTAGTATTTTACAATATTTTACTTTTTATTAGGTTTTTTTTTTTTGAAACCAAACAACCGAAAATATATTAAGTGAGGTCTAAATCCGCCAAAGCTTGTAAACTTTGAGGGAAAGGACCCAAACAAACAAATTCGTTACAACCTCTCGAATCCCATTGAGCAACGAGGTGAGGTAGAGTATTTCTGGCTCCTTTAACATGAGAAATAGAGAAAGAAGTAAAAGAACTAGCCAAAAACAGAATATCCTCAATTAACAAGCAGAAAGGATCAAAACCCAATTCCTTTTTTTTCACCCCTGATACTACCTTCAATGCGTCAGTCTCCAACACCACCATGCGAAAGCCCAATTTGAGAGCAAGCTGGGCACCAAAAACACAAGCAACAGCTTCAGCAAGGTCATTAGGAAGACCTGCATGCTCACGTCACACAGCAGCAGCTAGCAGGCTGCCCATTTCGTCACGAATCACCACTATAAGGCCAGTCATACCTCCACATGAGCATCACAATTCACTTTAACAAAATCATGGCACGGTCTGGACCACGAACACACCGTAGGAGCATCTATAGTAGCAGCAGGTCTGAACACTTTCATGGCATACTCAACAAACTCTGCAACCCTCTTTGTCATGTTTGAAGCAACATTCACAGGGCAAAAAGACTCATCATCAAAAATGATCCTGTTCCTACACCACCAAGCAGCCCAACATAATGTGGCCGACGCTCTTTCATACTTGCTAATTATATTAGCTATCACCGAGCATTCTTGAACATTCGCCCTTGCAAAAAGTATACTATCATCAGCAAAAAATAAATGAGATA